AAAACACTGTAATTCATCACAAAATCACTGGCTGAAAACTTATAGCTGATAATGATAATTGTCCATGTTTAAAAACACTGACACAAACTCATTTTAATTTTGATATTACCGACGACAGAATATAAAACTTGCGCTGTATTGCGGTGCAAGCGCGCGAGGACTGCCTACTCACCAAGGCGGAATCACGCGCTTTCAAAATTCCGCGTTTTAAAAACGGTTATGAAAGTGCCAAGAAAAATGAAAATACTTCAGAAGAAAAAAGAGCAACAAAGGATGAGCAACGCCAAAGGATGATAAACAACTTTAAGGTGGTGATTATAAAAATAAGCTTATGCTTAAGTTTGTTGTAAAATCCCGTCAAATCATAAACGATCATCACGTAAACTCAAATCTGTCGGCCCATTTCAAAGACATTTTTAAACCTCTCAAAATCCTTACCATCTTCACTATCTTCCTCTTCGTGTATTGCTCCGTGATGATGTCCCTCTGCCATTTGATTTCTCGTGGGGAAAGAAAAAGAGCTAAAGTAAGCGTACGTAATTTGGTTTCCGCCAAAAAATGATGATGAGAGAGATAAACGGGGCAACTGGGGTGAGCACCAAAAATCCTCTCCGGGATAGGGTAAGTCAGATTTTATTTTACCTTCAAAATTCCCCTCTTTCGGCACAACACATGCATTATTTATATTGAAGAAAAAATTAAAATTTATCTACTGTAACAAATTGTACTACTTCATTACTTGTTACTGAAATTGCCTTCAAACTTGAATAAATTATAAATCAACCTCTATCACCTCCCCTAAGCGAATATGTGTGATGCGTGGTTGCAAAGCTTGTGGATGCAATCTTGCTAAAGATAATTATGATCTGCAAGTGTGTGGTTGTGTAATTTAGTGTCCTTGTCTGCTTTTTGGTGTCCTTAAACGTAAAATTTGCATCGCATATTCGTTCAATTGAAGTGCAGGAACTCCTTTGGTCCTCTTGAGGGATTCTGCTTCCTGTTTTAGCATGCAACACGACGAAGTAAGTTTGATTCAAACAACACGTGCTAGTTGCCAGCTGGTGTGTCTGTCTGTGCGTGGTTAAGCTTGATTAATCTAAAAAAAAGTTTTCCAGTGCAACTAACACCATCTTTATGACCCCAGGTAATATGGCAAGTAATAAATCAAGGTTTCTGTTCATTCAAAGTAAAGTAAGTAACATCACATCCTACTTTTTTTCTAGTTATCCAAGTTTAGACAACAACAGGCTGTGCACTGCAGAGAAAAAAAGAGCAACTTCTATTTACTCATCCCTGGCTAAGCTAAGCATTGACTATTTTCCAATTCCCCATAATACACTCTGTCTGCCCCCCAAATTTTGCATAACCTATTGTCTTAAAATGCTCTTGGGAAAATGCAATACTCCCAGGAGCATTTAAAAACAATGGTTTACGCAAAATTTGTGGGGCAAACAGAGTGTATTATGGGGAATTGGAAAATAGAGAATACAAGAGTTTTAGCAACTTTTGAAGTAAATTAACCATTTTACAGTTGTGAGCTTAGTATCCGAGGTTGACTTTGTTTTGATACAAACCTTTATCCTTTTCTTATGGAAATTATGCTTTAAAATTACCAGGTAGCATATAAAAGATACGTGATTTGTATATTTGAATGAATTCATGGTTTTTTTTCAGAACAGCCACTCAGACGTTTTGTCGTAATGAATACAATGTAACTGGTCTGTGCAGCAGACAGTCTTGTCCTCTTGCAAACAGCAGATATGCTACAGTCAGAGAAAAGGATGGTAAGACTTTTGAACTTCCTTCCCTCCTGTTACAGTAGAACCTGATTAATATGGACAGCAAGAGGACATGTCTGTATTAAGCAGGCTCTCAAAAAAATGTCTTGGACACTTTTTTTATACATATAAAGACAAAAGCAGACATTTTAACGAGCAAAATTTGTTTAATTTCTTAACTGTTTCTGTAACAAGTGCATCATTAAGAAACCCAACAATCTTTTATCATAGTATCCGACTAAAATATTTATTACCATTTAACCCTTTAAGCCCCAATATCCACATACAAATTCTCCAAACTGGTCTCTGTACATTTCCTTTAAGAGTTAGTTAAGGGAATTTGATAAAAGATCAAAGTATTTTCTCGTAGGTGAGCATTTTATTCATTCACATAACCTCATCTCATGACAATGTATGGATATCATTAGGAGAAAATTGCTGTTGGTCACTATTGGGACATAAAGGGTTAAGTCAAGTCAGTGTTCTAAAAGCAAGACAATGTAATGGTAATCAGTTTCCTTACTCTTACTTTGTACTGATGGTTTAGTTGGCAACTTAGCCAGGTAGACTTAATACTGGACAGAACCTGTCAAAGGTTGTTTGCCGTTTCTGGTAGGTTTTTACTTGTAAGATATTTAGTCCAGACAAATTGAAACTGTCCATTTTATGCAGGTTTCCATTTAAGTCGGTGTCTATAGAGCGGGTCCTACTCTATTATTACATGTACCTCAGGCTACCTCTGATTGGAAAATCCGTATTAATAAATACCCTCCTCCCCTTGGCCTATTGAAGGAAACTTCATTTTCATTAATTAATGAAGACCATCTTTTCAGAGAATTTCAAGATGACATTTGGTAACTTTTAAAAACCTTTCTCACAGTCAAGTGAGCATTCCATAAAAAAAATGGTTATTAAGAAAAGTATGAGTCACAGTGACTTTCCAAAGTGTTCCTTGCTGCAGGGTGATCAAGAAATATCTTGAATTCATAATTCTAAAGATAAAAAGATGAAAAGAAAACTTGCCTTGTTTTATTTCTGTTTTAGGTGTATGTTACCTGTACATGAAGACTATAGAAAGAGCACACTCACCAGCCAAGATGTGGGAAAAAATAAAACTCTCAAAAAACTATGAGAAAGCCCTAGAACAAATTGACAAGAACCTTATATACTGGCCAAACTTTATTATACACAAATGTAAACAGAGATATACAAAGATTGTTCAGGTGAGAAAGATAGTTTTTTTCTCTCTGTTGGATAAATGATAATACCCATCCATCAATATACAAGCAGTGACAGTACCTACACTGTAATAAGACTGCTAGCTATACTTAGTCTGGTAATCACGCGGTCAATGTATGCTATTCAGAAGCTTCAAAAGACTGGAGGGTGCAAACAATCTACAAGAGATGACAAGGGTGTGGTAGGAGGGACTTCATTGGAATTTTGTGGTTCAAGTTACATAATTGTTTTGCATTTTTCTCTGGTCTGCTTGATGGAATTGCACATTTTTGGGTATGGTGTGATCTCTCCCACCTGCACAAGGTAGCCTTCCAAAATGTTTGTATGCAGGGCACAAAATATGATTGCAATTCTTGGTTTGCAACCATGGGACAAGACGGCCATGTTGGGGGTCACTGGGTGAGAAAACAATAGAATTTTTCCTCAAAGAATTACATGATTCAAATAGAGTTTATTTCCCAAAGGATTGAAATGCTTTTGTTCTTGACCACGGACATGGCTGCCGTGACGTCACATGCAAACCAGCAATTCTTACATTCAAAATTGGCTATGACCGTCAGAATTGATCATATCACAAGTGATACAAGGTGCTGGTTGGTTCAGTTTGGGTGGTTGAGGTGTGAATTATCATGTTTGTAAGTAAAGATGACAAAACGTGTATGGGCAGAAGGTGAAAGTTAAAGGCGTCCCTCAGCATTGTGTTGCTGGTATCCATACATCTGGCCCCAGTTGTTCAAAATGGTAAATAGTGCTATCCACTGGGCAAATCTCTCTTGGTAGGCATAAATGGTGGTTTGACTCTGCTCAACAGTTACACTTTTTGTTATTCTCATCTTTTTGCAGTACTTAATAAGGATGCGGAAACTTAGACTCAAAACAAGGTAGGCAAAAGAGGAAGTTTGTTCAGAATGTTAAGTTTGAGATTTGAACCTATGCTTAAGTTGGTAACCCAACTGCCATCCAACTGGAAATACAGTGTATGGCGTTGCAAATGATAGGAATTTTATTTTAAACCACAGTAGAAGATGGCATGCATATTTTATTGACATTAGTAACCATTTTAGTTGAACAAACCAGACGCATTGTCACAGATACATCGTATATGTATTTTTTTAGGCATGCAAATCTTTAGCTACAAAAGGATAATCTTTGGAATTTTTGCTCTTTGTGGTCACTGTGTCCAACTCTAGGTCGAACTTCCGCGGAGATAAGCAAAATAATTTTAGTGCTACATTGTCAGATGACTCACTGTAATTTTCAGCTCTGAAACAGGTTACCCGAAAGTGTACTCCCAAAGTAGTAGAGGACTAATAGCTTTGGTTCCTGCTTTGTTTCTGTAGTAAAAAACTTGTCACCATAAACAAGAAAGTGGAAAGAAGAGAAAAAACAAGAGAGGTAATCAACATAAAAATATTGTACTTAGCAGTAGTAATAAGAGGTAGAGGAAAGATTGCCTGATTTATGAACACAACTTGCTTAATGGACTAAAATGCATGCATGTGGCAAGGACGTCATTCACCCCTGGAAATCTTTGAAAGAGTGGGCATAATAAATAATTATTGGAGTTCACATGCTTACCTACTGAATAAATAAATTCACAGCAAAACTTCTCGATTCTTGGTGCATAATTGTTACCTCACAACCAGTCATGCTGAATTAGGTGACACTTCCTGTGTAAGTATTTGCTTCATCAAAAATTTATAAATCCAAGTAATCCATGCTTTTTTTGTTTTATTTCTCTTAACAGAAAAAGGCTTTGGTAGCTGCACAGCTTGAAAATGCCATTGAAAAAGAGTTACTTGAAAGACTCCAGAAAGGAACTGTAAGAATACCATGTTTTATTTATACTAAACTAGGCCAAGTTGTTTGAAGCCTGGTTATCAGTAATAGAGTAATATTTTATTGAGCTGTCAACTTGGCCATTGTCCTTCGAAAGCTTCCCTGGAATACCTGTACATCGCTTTCACATGACGTCACGACAGCCATTTTGGTGAACAAAACAATGAAACAGTGGCCATGATGGTGTACCAAAAAATTCCTGTTGGACTGAACTCTTCATGTGTAAACATTTTTGTTTCAAGCAATTTGCACAGCTGCTGAACATATGAGTGAAAGGGATCTATAAATTTACACTATGTTGACCCTAACTTAATCTCAGTTGGGGCGAAATTTTACATGAGTCTCCAAGGGTTAGGTTGTAGGCGGTTTCCTGCAATCTTGGGCCAGACCAGTCCAACTGTAACAGGAGTTCCACTATTAATCAGGACTATCCCGCCAGATCAGTTTACAGTGGAACTTCTCCCTTGGTACACTTCTATTCAAGAGACATCTCCAATCAGGGTAAAGGGACACTTTTTCTGGGTCCAGAAAACTGGGTTTTTATTTCCATTCAGCAACACCTTAGCATTCAAAAAGTGACTGACCACAAAAAGGGTTGATATCTTTAAGTGTACACTAATCACAATTATGGAAGCTTTCACAAACTGAACTATCTCACTCATATAATGGTACTGCACTTGTGTGAATTCAACAAATAATGCTGCAGATTTTATGTCGTCTTTGCTGGTTAATTATTAACAAACCCCAGCCTCTTTTCATGATCAGGAGACACTTCTCTTCAAGGGACACTTGCCTTGGTCTAATGGGTATATTAGAGGTTCCACTGTATTTGTAAAATGGTATACGTGGATGTGAGGGGTTTTAGTAAAAAATTTGAGAAAAGACTAATATTTCATTAATTTTTCAAAATAACTGGTCAAGCCGGTCAGTTCTGACTTTTGGAAAGCACTCTCAGACTGATCCAAACTTTATTTGTTTATTTTTTGATAGTATGGAGATATTTACAACATTCCTAGCAGTGCTTTTGAAAATGTTCTGGATAAAGAAGAAATTGAAGAGGAGGAGGAAGAGGAGGAAGAGGAAGAAGAAGAGGTACATGTATGATACAATATTTGAACTGAATTTCCCTGTTCCATAGATAATTAAACAGTTTCATTCAACCCATCACCTTTCTGTGAGTTTGTATAAAATTCTTCGTATGTATTTTAACATGTTTATTTTTGCTTTCTTGATAACAGGAAGAAGAGCCTGAATTTGTGGCTGAGGATGAAGTTGATGTGAGTGATCTCAGTGACATTGAGGTAAGGTGGAAGAGTGAAGCAAAGGGTGCTGTTTTCAGAACTCTGACTGATTCCTCAGCTATGTATTCAGGACTGCCAGCTATCAGTCCTGCTACTGACGGGGGGGGGGGGGGGGGGAGGAGGGGAGCATGGCTGAATATACTACTCAGGGTAGCTGGTAGCACCACAGGTACACCAAGCATAACAGAAAATAATGTTATATATAGCATTAAAATACATAATAAGATCACACCTTGTCTTCTTGTTTTATTTATGGTGTGTTCTTCACTTTTCAGCATGATTCTAGCTAGTTTTAGCTCTAGGTATCGTTGTTTTTTGGGGGCCTTAGATAGCAATAATATTATTGCTAAAATCCCCATACAAACCCTTATAATATTATTCCTGTTACAAAAGAATCCCCACTCATGCACTTGGGGTACCTGTGATTGCACCATCACCCAGCCCTGCTTGTAAACATTCAGCTGGTTTGCCTCTTGCCAGTTGGGTTTCTTAGGATGCATAAAGTCGGCAGTACTGGCCAGCTAGACCAATCATTTTGAAAGAAGCTTTTTGGGGGAATTTCTGCCTAAAACCTGTGACTGCCATGTGCACCATTTAGGAATAGACTGATCTGGCTAGAGAGTCCTGAACTTCTCTTTATGACTGCATTGGTCTGACCAGCTAGTTCTAACTTATTGTAGATGCCCTTAGATTGTAGGAGGGTCTTGATGAAAACTACAGGGACATGAGTAATGTACAATGTTACTCCTATTTTTTTTCTTGTAAATTATTATGCGGCCATGGTGTCCATAAAACTTTTAAATTTAGAAGATGATCTTTAAGAAATGGTAGTGCTGGAAATCAAAAAACCAAAATGCTAAGCCTTTTTTGGTATTTTGTTGGTATTGGCCACCCAACTTGCTGGTTGAGCATTTTGATATCTTTAAATCATATCTAAAACAAGCTGAACTGGTTTTTTCAGATATCTACATTACTGGTGATATTAATTGTTGTAACCTGTTTAACCCTGGGGACTCCCATATTAAATGCCTCATTAATATTCTAGATGTGTACCAATTGACACAGGTCATAACTGAACCCACTAGAATAACAAGTAGCACCTCTACTCTGATTAACCTTTTCATTAACAATAACGAGGAAAGTATTGTGCATTCCAGTGTGTGTTTTCTCCCATAAGTGATCATAATTTTATTTTTGTGGTATGAAAAAGTGGTGTTCCCAGGCAAAATCCCAGATGTGTTGAGACAAGGAATTTTGCATATATTTATTTTCCACATTATTAAACAGGGAGACTAATGACCTAAAACACCTTCAAAGCTCTTTAATCCTGCGTTTCCTTCTGAGAAGTGTTCAACCCCCCCCATTACCATCCCGGAAATATATGGGGAACAGTTAGAAGAAAGTGTATGTAATTGTTGATGTTAGGTATAAAGGTTACTTTCTTGTGTGCATTACAGTCAAGGTGGCTCTTACAACCATAAATGCCTACAATTTTCTAGGACCTGCAAGCTGATGAACTTGAACAAGAATCAGAAAGTGAAGCAGAAGAAGAACAAGAACAGGAGAAACCCTTTCAGAGAAGAAAAGGAAGGAAAACGAAAGTGGAAATAGAATATGAACAGGAAACAGAGCCAAAAAGAGCCAAAATTAAGGTGTAACCAATCAAAAGTCATGCACATATGCATATAATACAGAAGCGCTTTTGCCAAGTCCTGCAGTGCAAGGGACTTGGAGCATGGCTACTGAGATCACCAAGTCAGGAAGAAGGGGGTGTGAGGTGAAGGTGGAACACAGAAAAGGGATGCTTCAACGGGAGAAATGTTGTTACCACTAATTTTGTGGAAGGAAATGGAAAGTGGGAACTGAGGATATTGTATGCGTTTTCTTGGAAGCTGGTGCATTTTCAATGTCTTCTTACCAGTTGCTAACTTGATGAAAATATCTTGCTTGTAACTTTTAAGGCTATGTTGACACTGTACTGGATAGCTGTTGTACTGGGCAGGCATGAAAACCACACCAGATATTGCTTCTGTTCACACAAACGAATGGTGATTTCGGTCGGCATGGTTTCTGTAACACGGCAAAACTGTACCATGCCGACTGTAAGTGGAGCATCACATATCAGATAGGTGTCTGTATCTCACTTTGGTGCGGTGTGAACAGGTATTTGGACCGTAGCAGAAGTAAATAAGAAGGAGCGAGGACTAGAATCAACTGAGATGGAAGTAAATATTTAGGACTGAGGAATGGATTTAAGTTCACCAAACCCTCTCAGCCAACCGCTCCAGCACAATGTTTGATGTGTGTGAACAATAATATTGTTCCAGTCCTGGGCCATTGCTATTCAAACTTTACAGGATAGATTTTTGTGTCGGTGTGAAAAGCTATGCAGTATAGCATAGACATAACCTAAGCCACTTGAAATTACACAAGAGACCAGATCTGAACTGAGAAAAAGAATTTGTACAATTTAATAAAAATTGCCCAAGCACTGATCATAATTATTTAATACATAGATTTAACTAGTCTTAACATTACCATCAGCAGATTTGTGTATAGTTACTAAAAGGGTATGCTCACTTCAGTTTATTTTGCACGAATTTTATCACAGTAATCATTGTTTTTTTTGTAGTCGTGGGTGTGTTAATTAAGGACCCTAATTTTTGATCCAGGACAGCCATTTTCTTCCCCAGAATGTTTGAGGTGTTTCAAAACCAAATGAAAATCTTTGATTTCATGAAATAGGTCCTTGAAAGTATAAAACCTTGGAAAAACTGGCAGCAGAGAATATTAATCTTTTTTTAAGTTATTTTGGAGGAAGTAAGATAAATTATCCAAACCAATGTCAAAGTCGAGACCAGTTTATTTTGTTCATGAATTGCTCAGTGTTTGACAACAACAAGACAACGGTGTTAAATGTTTTGCAAGTTCTACACACTAAATTACACATTGCAAATATGGAGTTTTTTGGTGTTGCGGATTGCTGCAATTACCAAACGATGTAATAAAAATGATTGAAAAGACACTTAACAATACCTGCACCACAACTCAAAAGCAAACCAACAATAGCTTCCACAGGCTGCCTCCACAACACCAAGAAACACCTCAAATGTGACCACTTTGTACAGTTTGCAACCTTTGAGTGCAAAAACACTGATAGTCACAAAAGCATCAAAAAGTAAAAAAGTCTTAACTGATATTAGAAAAGACCTTTTTGTGGTTTTTTCCAACTTTTGACCTGAAGAAGTTAGTGAAAATCCATCTAATCTACTGGAGAGAGCACCTTTAATTTATTAAAATTGTTTAGTTTGAAAGTGATTTGTTGAAATGTAACAAAGATACTGCTCTCAAAGTTGAGAGATTTGTACACAGGCAGCGCAAGCTCAGTATGAGTATTTAATCGTTAATACGTGTAGTAGCGTACTGTGTAATCCTCAAAGTGGCCATGATTATAAAGGATTTGTCAGGGAATTCAGGCAATAGATTCAAAAAGATAAATGCTGACAGAAATTTTCACTAATAATAAAATGCTTTACCTTGCATACTAGATGTGTTCTTGCCTCCTGTGTGGCTATTTTCTTGATCCATTGCAGTTTAAGCAATTTCTTTTATCCCGAGTTTCCAAAAGATATCGCTTAAATCGCAATGGATGGGGAAAAAAACACACAGAAAGCAAGAATACATTAAGTAATTAAAGGTAAAGCATTTTTTGAAATTTTCTGTGAGTATGTTGTTGAATCTATTGCCTAAATTTCCATACAAATCCTTTATATTAACGGCCATTTTAGGATTACACAATATTAATGGTTAACACATGTTTATGGTTAAACACTCATACTGAGCTTGGGCTGCCTGTGGTTTGTATAGTGGGGGGAACAACCTTGCCCCCCACTATACAAACATCTGTTTTTGCAACTTTGTGGAACTATAACTTTACTCGCTCAAGACATATCGCTCTCAGACTTTGCGATATTACTAATTTTAAAGTGCTCTTTCCAGTGGTGTCAACGTATTTTCCCCACCTGGTCCTAGTCAAAAGTTGATAAAACCAAGGAAGGGTCCATTTAAAAAGGGCATTCTTATCCCCAGAACTCCCTGAGAACTGATTAGAACAGTTGTGGTCATAAGTAAAACTGTCAGGCATTCTGCGAATAAAACATGATCATGCAAGAAATAACAGTGTGTTTGTTCATGGATAGTGGAAAGAGTGGCTTTCTACAATCCATGGTTTGTTCATGTGACTTGCAGCCATTTTGGTTTGCTTATGAAACTGTTTGCAAAAAAGTTGAGTTTTGAGTGGACCACTTTGCTCCTCCAACATGGCCGCCATTTCTTTGTTTACTCCTCCAATATGGCTGCCGTGATGTCACGTGAACAAACTCTACAATCATCCTATGGAAAGATTATTACTCAATAATAACTATTCCCTCTTGGATTTTACAAAAATGAAAACTGTACATACAACATTCTTTCTTTAGAATTGTATATTATGTATTTTACACACCTTTTGAAAATTAATATTTGGGACTGCAATGTTTTGTAGAAACAAAATATTGCAAACTTAACAATAAGTTTAGATCAAGGCTGATCATACTTATCTCAGGAATCAAAGCAATTTATGACAGTAACCCCCTCCTTTTAACAGAGCTGCTTATTACGCTGTCAATTACCAACCATGACCAGAGCCTGTGGGTGAAATAGAGGATATTACATGGCCGCGTGGAGATACGAAATTTCTCTTTGAGTTTTGAGCAGCCATGTAATGTTTTAATAAAACACCAATGAAATACCTAACCATTTCACTTAAATTAATGTCTTTTTTTTATGCTGCAAAAGGCTCAATGCACCATGTAGCCATAGCAATGGTGATCTTTCCACATGTACTAAAGATAACTTGACTGTTATTTTCACATGAAGATATGATGTTTTCGTGTGAAAGCTCACCTGGTATTTCATTGCTGTTTATAATAAATTGTCTTATGTGACGATTCAAACCTCTTAGACGGTACTTTTCCAATCATGGTAATAATATTATTACAACTCTGTTTCAGTACCTGCGTTTTCTTAAATTGATTTCAATTGGCATCATGGAAAGTAAGAAAGAAAATGTGGAAAGTTATAGTAAACTCAACTGTAAGACAGACAATATATGTTTAGAAAATGTCCACTCCCTGCAGAGGAGAGTTAAGCCCTGCACAGTAAACAGTGTTACAACACTTAATAATTCTGCACTGATAGTAAAAAAAACTATAAATGAGACTTCTGAATCACTATTATTTAATTATTATTATTATCATCATTATTTTTAATTTTTTCCTCTACAACCAGCAATCAGAATATGAAGCAAAATGTAGGAGCAATACTATTACCATGTACAGTCTCTGTCATTTGTTAGTGGTCTTGGACCAAATAAGTGATTTTGTGTTTGAAATCACTGCTACGCAGTCAATACGAAGAAAAATGACAAACCTTGACAGGATTACATAATAAGTGGAATATTTGTACTACCAGTGACAAAACTCAGATTGAGACAACCACTTAAAAAATAACATTTGCAGTCTTTAATTACACGTCAGTTTTACAGGTGCAGTTACCTCAAAACTTTAAAAGGATTGCCCTGAAAGGAGCATCATACCAGTTTTTTAATAATCATCAGTGATGAAATCAAGTGGAACAAAGCTGCTGAACAGGCAATATTGATTAATTTACAAGATTTAGAGGCCGTGGAACTCATAAGCAGTACTTTACAATTAAATTATTTAAATTAAGATTCTTTTCTCTGTATAACTGCTTACATAATTTGATTGTTTTGACTTCTGAAGTTTGACATTACGTGAATAATGGTCACAGTCATACAGTCAACTCTGTAAGATGGACACCATTGGAACTGGCACAAGTGTCAATCTTAGAGATTTCTGTCTTAGGGCCTATTTACAAGGAGAGAGGGTTACCCTTGAGCTAGGGTTACCCTAGCAAGAGGGTTACCCTATCACCAGGGTCAACTTTACCAACTTTACTGGTGTGTTTTGTCATGTGTGACATTCTTTGTAATGTCCAAGACTTGAAAATTAATAAAGCTTGAACGTCTCTGGGAAAACACATTAAATTCATGGAAAAATGGGAAAATATTATCACCCTATTCAGAAAATGTTTATAATTTAGCTCAGAAATTGGATAATTCCATTCAAATTGTCAAGATAACTGATCATGCATGATGGAGGAAAGTTGTCCTGGGTAGGCGAGTTACCCCTAGCAGAGTGTTTACAGGGCAGGTAGGGTAAACCTCTTGCTAGGGTAACCCTAGCACTCAGGTAGAGTTACCTTAGTGCCAGGGTAACACTTAGCTTGCCTTGTAAACACATCATGTAAAAAAGAAGAAATGTGCAAGTGCTAGGGAAACCCTAGCACTAGGGTTACCCTCCCTCCTTGTAAACAGCGCCTCATAGACAGTCGAATGAAGGGAGTAAAGAAAGGCAAGGACCAACTCCAGGTGTCTGTTTTACAGAGGTGTCCGTTAAGAGAGACGTAACTGTACTATTTACCTAATTCACTATTTTTAGTAATCAACTCGAGTAGAAATACTAAACCAAACATTTATCACATAGCAGTTACAGTGCTAAATTATACCAAAAACATGTCTGCTTTTGCATTTATTTTAATAATGACTTCTCCCTTGTCCACTATTAAGTTTACACCAAATTTACACTGATGTCATATTGCCCATGTGACTGGAACAACCGTATTGTCTGAATAGTACAATCTGCACCCCAACAAAGGTTAAAAGGAACTAAAAGTCAAGAATTTATTTCTAATAATTATCTTAATTACATTGATCAAAACCACCTGGCTCACCACTAAAATATTTTTAAAAAATGTTAAAGGTTTAGTGGCATCCTACGAGGACCTACTATCATTATTTTTCGCTGTACACCAAATGAAAGAGATAGTGACTACACTTTACTACTTTGTTCAAGTAGATTTAGAAATAATATTTTGATAACTTTTTACTTTGTACAAAAAATTGTTTCTTGAAGTTACTGTCAAAGATCATCATCCTGCAAACGAAGAGCAGACAAAATAAACAATAAGTGACTATCTCTGTCAAAAATGGCAGTCTAAAATATAAGTTTGGCTAGAGCAAGTTCAGACATGCACCACTTGCTTTCATTGAGTAAAATGGCTTAATTACAAAGAAAGGCTGCTGCTAGCAATAATCCCGGCAAAAGACCAGCAGTACATTTAAATTATTGATCCTACTGAAAGATTAGGGATTATCGAATATCTAAGAGTTTCTTTATCCAGAATTATGGTCAATCAAATGCCCCATTTATCTTGCCTAGGCTGATTTATGGCACAGGATGGCTGCAAGGCATTATCCTCACAACAAAGAATTACATAAACTTGCACCAACAATCATCAAGTTTCCCTGATCTTCATATTTGATGGATTTTACAATGTAGTATAAATGTAAATGTATAAGCCCCAAGTACAACATTCCAGTCAGCCTGCTAATTGCCGTAAACATGACTCTTAATCTGGAGCTCTAATATCTTAATTATGATTTCTAGTTACTTCTCTGGTTATGGTTATTACTACAGCTCTGTTTGGTAATGTGATGTAAATAGTTGCTCTCAACTCTGACTCATCCCATGTCACCTTCATGGTAAGTGTGGTGGGAGTGCATGGGGTAGGGGAGCAAGGGACACAAAGTACGCTACACACATGATGACTGGAGACAAATCAGGGTCTCTAAGTGATGTACTTGAAGACTACCAAGAATTCCTTTTCTTTTTTCTCCCCTTATTTATACTTTGCAATGTTTTAAAAATTAAAACATGATAAACTCACTGATCCTGAACAGCAAGCCATTCCCCTCTTTTTTGGAGGCTCGGGCGGAGTGTCCCCAACAAGATCAAGGGTTGGAGTACCATTTGGGCCAAATACGTTCAGTTCTGCAAAGCATTCCATCTCAATCATCTGCAAAAACATAGCATAACAAATTTTGACAACTTTTTTTTCAAAATTTAGGCTAACAGTCTTTTTTATGAGACTAATGGAGGCTTTGAAATAGCTTCACAGTGGAGTCTTAAATGGAATATTACAGCTTGAACTCTGTTTAAGTCTGGCCATTCAGTGTGTTTCATGTTGTTGACACTGCTCGTGTTCAGGAAGTATTTTGTCAAAATTGTAATTTACACTGTATAGGAACTTGTTCAATATAGCTGCTCCTTTGTTTTCATTAGTCTACCTTGCTCTGTAGAAAGCAAATCGAAAAAGTGAGATACAAAGAAAAAACAAAATAAGAAGAAATTTCACATAGTTATACTTAGCTCCATGTGAGTTAACAATACTGTATTTCCCTTTAAATAGTATAGGGATAATTTGAGGTAAGAACAAAACTCACATTAATAGTCTGCGTTTCTCGATCAGTTGGATAATTTATTCAAACAGTGCTAACTTAGGGTATAAAATGATTTGAAAATATTGCTTTACTATTAGTCGCTGACCACTTGGTTTTTATAAAGTGTGATAATGTGACACAGAGGGAAAAAAAATGTTATTCAGTTTTTGGTTCATCCCAAAGGAGAGATACCAGTACATGACAGAATACATCTGAATAATACTCCTAACAGCTCAACAAACAGATAAAGAACTACCTCTGATTGCCAAGGGATTGAGACTGATCCACTAGCAAATCTCCTATAAAAATCATCATCGCTTTCATCCAAACGCACGCCCTTCACAGAAGAGAACTGTTCAATGTCTAATACATCTTTACAGTAGACGGCTCTAGGCTGGGGATAAAGCATTTCTTTAATTAAAACAAATATCATGTATAACATTATATTAGACGTAACAAATCAGGTAAGCATACAGTTTATTTTTATTAATTGAAGACTACCCACAGTGCACTTTACAGCGTAGTGAAATGGGATTTTTGTGACCAGTAGTGTTGAAAAACACCTTTTCACACAATCTGATGCAAATAATTATGTAAAGGACCATCCCAAATAATCAAGGGGAAGAAAAATATTCAGCCTGGACTCAAAATAAATACTTGATATATACACGTCATGTAGATCAAGTTGAATAAAGCTCAAGGTTGTAAATAACAAAGTGGCCCTGTGATTTTGAACCAAAATCATCTTTATAAAAAGTAAACTAAACAGCTAAAACGGCTTGATGAAAGTGGACTGATTTCTCATTTTGTTCACCGTCGATGTGAAATTATGATTTGATTTTGGAAAAGGCTCAGCATCTCGGCCAGCTGCGGCTGGAAATGCGCATGCTGCTTCCTCTGTAAAAACATGGCAGGCGAAAAGTTCTTTTAGCTGCATGTAAAGGAACAAATGGGTGGTCATCGAAACTGGTGGCGTTATTGAATTATTGTGGTTATTGAACACACTGAACTAACGAAAAAGTATTTACCACTTAGTTAATGCTACACATTTATATTAAAAAAAATTCTAAGACGCAGCTGCATGTTGTCCATGCTTATCATTGAACTAACGTGTGGTCATTAAACCACTGTCATGTTAATTGAACTTTTGGTTTATATTGAACTAACGAAAAAAGCTTGGCACGGCTAATCTTTTACACTGCACACTTTATCCGAGCTGGGCTAGATTTTCAGGATCGCGTACCAGTTTTATCCGTGCTCGGACTACCTCTCGACATGGTCCGAGCACGGGTGAAATTTTGTTCCGGCAGGGATGGGGCAAAGTCGTTTACACGACTAAATCTATCCGTGCCGAACCAATTTTTTTGGTACGCGTACTTTTTTCATCTGAGCCGTGCCAAAAATTTTCGGCCGTGTAAATGAGGCTTAAGACACTTAACCATACAAATTTGGTAGCCCGTCAAGGCACAATAAAAGAGAAGAGTGCTCACTTCTGGTGATGTGCATCACTCAAAAATGTCACTGCTTAAACTCTCTATCAATCAAACAACCCCTAAGAACTCACATCAGGTACAAATGGAGGTTTGAACATTCCTGCTTCCAACTGAGGCCAGTTAATGTTCCTAAAGAAAATATGTTTCTTAGCTTCCTCTCCACCCACATCATTGTATCCTAGTCTGTTAGACACCTCCTTTTGAAGGGCCTGAAAAAAAGATGCAGCCTGTGGGTAAATAAACTATAGGCTGCAGTCATCACAGAAATGTTAAAATCCTTTGAGGCCAGCCTGTTTCTCACACTTGTTGACAACCATTCAGACCTGTGAGATCCAATGTTTCATAGCTATTACTACTGCTATTATTATTATTATTATTATTATTATTATTATTATTATTTTCACTATGACCTTGCGAAAACTACAAAATTTACATTTCCTTGCCACTTTTCATTAATGGCTTTGCCCTAATTTTAATTATTTTGGCAATTTTTGTTATTTTTGTTGTTTCGTTTAGGACCTTTCTTGGCCTCACAAGTTACATTTCCTCATCACTTTTTGTTAATGGCTATGCAAAATTTCGTTATTTTCATTACCTTCACAATTTTTGTAGCACTCTTGTCAAATTTTGTGGCTTTTGTAAATTTCCTAACAGAGTTCAATCCTGGACATACTGTAGGCTAGAACTGGCCATACATGTGTTTCTAGAGATGACTGATTTGCAATACTGTATGCTTGAAATCAGGTTCAGAAGTTAATAGGACTAAACATACCACAATAAAGATTAACTAGCAAACTTCAGTACTTTTTTGAGTTTTATTTCTCAGAAAATAAAGATTGAAAATTGGGGCGCAGCTTATCCACAAGTGCCACGACTTTTTATGGTAACTGATTTTCTGGATTTTCAACAACCACAATCCTTAACTACTCTGCCCTCAAAATACTAAAGAAATTCTATAGGACTTTAGAATAGGTTTGAAAACAGGAGTAACTTCAAAAGTAACTTGCTTTTGATCTTCCAGGTGAAAGGAGTTCTGAATAGGACTGTTGCTGTTGACAGTGACTGACATTTTCGAAAACCTGTGTAGTAGTCATCTTCAGATTTGAGTTGTATCACGTCAGTTAATGGTATTATACTCTGGTTATTGACCTGAATGGTCAATTACGTAGGGATGTTATTGGTCATCTGTCAGTTGAGCTGTGATGTTTTTGGCTATGAAGACTAGTAATGTAATTGGTGCATTTTGATCTGTCTATTGTCAGAGTCATCTATTGTTAGTCAAATTATCAGTCAAATTCTCAGTTCTCTAGTCCTTTGGTAAGAGACTGCAAGAGACCAGTACTCACCTGACCACATATTAACCTTGCCGCAGAACTGAATTTGTCTGTGTATACTTCCTGATCCTCTTTGACCCTCCGTTCCACCTCGTCTCTCTTTACCTTTTCTTTTCTTGCTCGAAATGGAGACTGCAAAACAGAACAATGGATCACAGTTAGAAGTTCACATACAGGGCTGTCACTAAGGGAACTCAACAAAAGACAGAGCTGACCAGTCAGAATGGTCATTTTGAATGAAACATCTGTCTTTTGTTGAAATTTTTGTGAAAGCCTATCACTGCTGTACAAAAATAACATGCCATTTAGGTATTGACTGATCTGGCTAGACAGTCGTGATTTGGAATTCTCTACACAACTGAACTGGTCTGGCTAGCCAGTTCTGACAAATGGAAAGCACCTGGCTTAGACTTCAAGTTGCTGGATAAATACATGTACAACAAGCAGGCAGGAATCAAACAGCTGCGGATTTCTTTTGTTTCTCTTAAAAAAAAAATTAAGTAATTAACTTACTTTTCCTTGAATCATCTCAAATATAAGACAGCCTAGACCCCACCAGTCCGGTGAAAATGTATAACGTTCGTTTTTGACAACTTCAGGGGCTAAAATATAAAGTGAGCAGAAGCTATCAATGAATCATGTATCATTTCATTACACCAGATCTAGCTGACAGGAAATTTACTCCACATACCCATATAGCCTATTGTTCCTACTCTCCCTCGTATTGTCTCGCCATTTTTTATTTGAACAGCTAAACCAAGATCTGAGATTCGAACATGACCATAGTCATCTAAAAGAAGATTTTCTGGTTTCATATCTCTGCAAGGAAATTGAATGAAAAATCATCAACATCATTTTTGTTAATTGGGATTATTCTTGCACTGCTAATTATTCTTGGCTATCAAAGAAACGTTCATTAGTGATCTACACTTTCCAGTTGCAAAAAAATGTGCGTACGCAATTAACTGTTATCATTGAGATATTCTTGCCTGTTTGTCCACCTGATAAGATCATGGTTCGTACTCTTATGAGCTCTTCAAATTCCATGACTTTTCTTGACTTTTTCCATGACCTTAGGTTTGCTGTTACTTTTAAAATTTTCCAAAACTTTCCTCATTTTAGGGCATTTCTTTGACATAAAACAGTTCAGCAGACATGAACTCTGGTGTCCACCAAAATACATGCCATTAACCCTGTTTAATATTACCGTGTAATAATACTCATCTCAATCTTTCATTGACCTTGCTTTGTCATCTGCAGTAACTAAACTACCAAACAAAACTTTAATTTTCCATGACTTTCAAGGACCAACAATTCAATTCCATGACTTTCAAGGCCTCTAAAATGAAATTCTTAAATTTCATGTCTTTCCAGGTTTTTTGTGACCTGTACGAACCCCGTAAGACAGCGGAATTGAGAGATCAGTTAAATAAAAGGGTATCGTTTTTTGGCAATAATGGTATACCTGTAAACTATTCTCTTGGAGTGTAAATGAATTAATCCTAACATGACTTCTGCTGCATAAAATACTGCTCTTTCTTCTTCAAAACCAGGATTACCCATGTTATGAATATGGAACTTAAGATCTCCACCATTCATTAGTGTTAACACCATACAGAGTGCATCCTTGGTTTCATATGCATATGCTAAACTGACCTACAAAGAAAAAGACATTCAAATAAAAAGTCCATTCCCTAAAAAGACCATGATTTCATATCAGTTACTGAAAAGAGCGGACAATTTACCATATGTACCAGTGTATAATACGCACTTTTTTCGCCAAAAATGTTTTTCAAAATTCAATGTTTGTATGATCCACAGAATCCTTTGTTTCATGAGCAGTTGCTTAGACTCTTATATGCCAATAATGCTAGCTGTATACAGTTATTTGGCTATACATGAGAGAGATGTTTTCTCTGTGACACAGGCAGCTCAGGAGAACAATCCAAGTACTCCCAACGGGAGTTGAGCCTATGACCTGGTTACTAGGACACTGAGCTAAAGGAGACTCGTGGGAGCTAAGGGCACTAAACTATGTTCATGTGACAAACATGAAAATAATGACAGATGTGATGGTGCATTTTTCTTCCGAGCTGCCTATGTCACTGACTAAAATAGACTGTGAGCAGTCTCTCTTTTGCTCTAAAATCTGTGAGAGTGTATGTGAGATGATGCAAGTGTGCAAGGTGTGCAAATTTTTTGGGCCCTATGGATGGATTGACAGCTCTTGTCTCTTTTCAATTGCGCAGGCACCCACACAACTCGTCACTCACAACTTTGCAGCTCCCACACCTGGCACACTCGCACTGTTGCATATGCGCTCTTGCTGATTTTTGATCCTTGGTTCAAATCTATTTTCCTTTGTTTCTGTGTATAATAATGCACAATACTGAGTTTCAAGTATAAAACAAGGGGAAGTTAATATTTTAATCCAATGATAATACAATAGTTCACTCAAGTTCTGAATGGTTTACAGCACCATTCGGTTTGGTTTTTAGCATCTACGAAGTCGTTTGCATGGCTTGTCTCCCTAAATCAGGTGATAAAATTTACGTCATTATCTCTATAATAACAAATTAATGATCTGGCACATGCTCAACAGAAACCACAAGTGGCTTACTGCAGAGGCTTCGCCTGAGGGGTGTAAAACAAACCAACTAAGCCAGTGACAAGCCATGCAAACCACCTCATTCACGCCATGCAAGAGAGAAACCTTTGCTCACAGGGTTAAAAAACAGAAAATTGTCCTCTAAATCTCTATTACCTGTACCTACCACAAATCTGCTGTCAATTTTTTCTAACAGCTGCTTCTCATTTAATGCCATTGCTTCTCCTTTCCGTCTCTTTATCCGTTTCTTTTCCAGTTTTTTCATCGCATACATTTTACCACTAATTTTACTCTGACATGCACAGACCTTTAAAACAAAATGTTGAGTTAAAGATTGAGTGTTAAGTCACTGACAAAAATGATGACAGGTAAAAAGTTGCCCAAAGCTGAAAAAAAAACATTCTGGCTCCTGAGAACAACTTTGCACTAATTTGAATTGCAGTAATTTCCCAGGAAGACATGAATTCATAAACACTTTATGTGTTAGCATAGATACATAGATAGAAAAAGGTCACTTGAGCTGGATGCTTACATGCCTCCACTAAAGTTGTAAGGGTTATATGGACACTTAAGGGAGCTTGCGCAGCTACAAATAAACATTGGGAATGCAATGTTTGTTTGTGTTTGGCTATACTGTTGTTCTGACATCATTGTTATTTAGTCACAGGCATAAAATTAAAGTGGTTTTTTGAAGTGTAACAGGATGTGTCTGTGAAAAAAAAAAAAAAAAACCAACATTTAAAAATGATATAAATTTATTATAATACAAGATTCAGGGGCAAATGAGATTTATGAAGTAAATTTATTAAAAATACAAGATTCAAATCAGCTTACAGGAATATAAAAAATGAGATTTCATTTTTTTAGGTGTCCCAGGGCCCCCCCTCTTCAGGGGCCCTTAAAAACAAAGGGGACAAAGTTACAAAAAACACCTCGTACGAAGAACCTGAGAAAGTCTCCAAATCTGTTACATGAGGAATGTACCTGATCCAAAATACAGAGTTAGCATGGGAGTTAGTGGGACGTGCGTGGGACCAATGAAAGTAAAGGCAACAAAATTAAAACTTTGACTCATTTGATATCATGTTTTTTATTTATTCAGACAAACAGAATGCTTTAGTGTTGGGTGACCATTAAAACTACTTATAGTCCGTTTGACTTGTCTACCCCTATGAGTTTTAGTGCCCCAGTTTTTTTAAGATGGCTCTGGTGAGGCACTTTACATGGGAGTTGAAATGGGGTTTTTCATCTTAACTAGCTGTTTTAGGTTTAATGCAATTTTAGGGCAAATTTTTCATCCTATCTTTTTAGGTCTAAAATGGACCCTTAGATTTCAAAAATGACTTTAATATTTGTGTAGAAGAATCAAATGATTTCAAAGAATGAGAGAAATTTAAAAAGCCTGAATAGCTGACTCAGACCTTAGGCTCAGGCTCAATGCTTTTCAAAAAATCTTTTAAAAACCAATTAAAACTGCATTAAAACAATCTTACCTCTCCAAATCCACCTTTTCCTAACACTCTATAGTGGCGGAACGTCTTTTTTGTTACTGGTTGTCTGATAAAGAATGATACATCCTGATTAAAGTTTTTATTTCAGTTTACTGTAGGTCAATGCTACACTACTGAATAAACAGGTTGAGTCTTGAGTAGCCTAAAACTAATGGCCTAACTCTTTAAGGGTCACAGTAAAACCCTGATACAACAAACCCTTATATAACCAACACCCTGGTATACATGCATGAAGTAGGACCATGATTTATTCTACTGCCATATAATGAGCATGTTTCTCAGTCCCTGGACACTTTGTTATAATCAGGGTTCCATTGTCCTTGGGTTTCTTACTAAGGCTAAAATTAATTCACATGCTACTGGACAAATTATCAATCAGCTGTCAATTTGTGTCTTTAGTTGTTCTGTTTACACAGAACCACTATAACAAAATGAAAATTTAGACACCTAGCCATCCAAAAATGTGAAGACCAAAATCAAGGTTGAATATTAAGCCTGTATGGTACAAGTTTGACCGACATGGAGTGAACACCTTGGACGTCTTAATTTTTGTAAGGCAAAGGTGCAGAGGGGGAGAGGCTAAGGGGGGCTTGGCACCCCCCCTCCAACTTTTTGCAAAATAAAAATAGTAACTGCCTGAAGTTCTTCACTAAATGTTTTAACCAAGTCTTTTGATACTAGACCAAGGATCCAGTTTTCACTCCCATCGACAATAAGCAAAAATTATTATAAATGACATCTACGCTATTTGCTCAGGGCCTTTTGCATAATTTCTTAACTGTCAGGGATATCATGGGCATTTTTGGTGTAAGACTGAGTTACAAAAAACACAGAGCTAAGGTGATTTTTTATCACATGCACCCTAATATGGAACCACTGCATGAAGACTGGAAAATGCCATAAAATTGCAGCTAGCATCACAGCTTAAATTAATTTCAGCGAGAGTCAGACAAAAGCGAAAAAAAGAATAAGGGTGACACCTTAAACTTACGTCAATGTCACCATTGAGAGAAATGCTTCGCTTATTGGGTGACACTGCTCAAAAAGATATTCAGAATGTAATTATTATTTTCTTGCTCTATTTATGACTAACTTCATTAAATCATTAACACTCCATTATCACTTTTGCTAATTAATGCTTGCAAAACAAAGGCAAATATGTACCTTTCAAGCCACTTCCACTGTAGATATCTAGCAAAGTACATTGTTTGTTGGTAGTCTTCAAATGGCCTCTCCCCCAAGAAATCATTGACCTCCCTACAACAGACAAGCAAAATAATGTATCACAACATGCAGAAATACACTACATAATCTGTTTGGAAAGAAAATGTCTGCCATAATTGAATTTAATTTTCCCATAATAGAGGGAAAGGTTGTAAGCATGGAATCGAGGATAAGGCTTTGAAATTTTTTATCCAAGTCAAGATGCTATGCACAACTAATGGAATAATGGACTATATTCTGTGTGTGCCAAACTTTTACATAAATTTGAAACTGCCAAATTTGTGCATAGATGAAGCAGGAGATTAATGCATTTTGCAGGGTGAACATTGTGGAAAGAAGTGAACAAAATAAACAGAATTTAAAACCAACCACCCTTAAGGCATCCTTGTTTGAGAACAATGTGTTGACCACATATTCCTTGGTTAAACACTTTGAAAACTGCTAAAACTGCTGGCTACATAAACAAACTATGAAATTTAACTTCAACAAAGGAACATACACTGATTGTTTGAGTTCAGATAAATACAGTAAAAAAACCCGCACAGAGGAACCTAGTGGATTAAGAACCTCCTGGCAGAAATTTGCGACTTTATTACCCCAAAATACAAGAACCTGATCAAGCAGGTTCTTATGTGGGTTACAGTTAAATTATGACAAACAATAATTTAAGCTAGGAGTGTAACTTTGATATTGTTAGGATTATGACAATATGGTTTAATTTGAATAAATACTGTATATTTAAAGACCAAACCCAAGTTTATTTATGTTTCTGGTAATCAACAATCAATCAATAATATCATTTCCTTCATAGCAACTAAATAATTATTTTTGCCAGACTTGAAAAAGAGGAGGTTCTTATACGCAGGTTTTTAGCGTAATAAGATCAAAGCAACATCTCAAGAAAACAATTTTAACATACCTGACAGCATCTTTGAAAAATTCCATTGAAAAATCATCATCAGCAGCAGTAGAAACTGTACTGATTGTCTTCTGTGCTGTATCATCCATAACCCCAGCCACTCTGTAGTTATTGTCAATTTCAGCATTATCGTGCTGGTCAAACAAAAAATAGGTATTAAAGGATCAGGTTTCCTATAGGTGAGAGTGTTAAGCTCCACACAACAAAATCCAAGGGTAAACTTTAAAAAACCGATCAGCGGAACTTGGAAGTTCTTATTTCATGCAGTAGGAACAGGTGCTGTTAAAATAGTTCCTTCTAACTGAATCTTTCTGCCATGACAATACCACTGCAGTCAGTGGACCTGTCATTAATGGCCACAACTGGAAACAGCTTATATCAGGTGAAATGATACATATATATTTATTATATAGACATGAATGTTTTACTGGAAAATATACCACTCGCAAAATTCATAAAAACTACATCCGGGACCTGAGTGGTTTACTTTCCATAATCTCACAGGTGAGTTTATCGATGACCTAATTTCGGTAATTTCCCTCTATTATTTTATCGATGTCTTTTTGTCTATATAATAAAAAGAACATTACATGGCGGCTTGAAGATATGAATTTTATTTTCTCGTGGCAAACACAATATTTTACTCACCTGCTGTGCTTGTTCGTAAAATATTGTTTTGCCACTCGAAAATAAAATTCATATCTTCACGCCACCATGTAATATCCTCTATGTATATACTTTATTATTTTTTATTTATTTATTTATTTTTAATAATTTTAGATTTCTCTACAGTTAGACGACAATTTTGTACAATTAGATTTTTCTACAATTAGACTTTCCTCTTACTTCAACTAGATTTTACTTTTTGTATATATTTTAAATCCTTAAATTTTCCTACGGTAGGCACCCTGCATGGGTCTTGGTGTCCCGTTTGTGCCCATCCCTTTTGGGCTTTAATTCTTTATGTTTGTATATTTTCAATTTTTTTTTTCTATTTTATTTTTTTGATTTGATCTTGCCCAATAAAGCTTGACATAACGAAGGTGTTATACGTGATGGTACATGTGTACAGTACAAGTCTACCCATTAGCCAAACAGCAGATTGTAAACACTACTATATAAAGTCAGACCCTGTTAATATGGACACGGGGGGGCCATAGAAAGTGTGACCCGTATTAAGGGGGTTGAACTTGTAAAAAAAGTAAGGGCTTTCTTTCCCCAGGAAAAAACAAACTGTCCATAATAATGAGGTGTCTGTATTAGGTGGGTGTCCGTCTGTATCTGAAATAACACACTACTGAGGAAAATTCCTAAGCTATGGCTACTTGAAAACTCAATCAATATTGTGGTTATAAATACACTTGTAACAAGCTAGATTTGCTTTTAAACAGTTTGATCATGTCAGTAAGAGAACTGCGAGGCTGGGCTTGAAATTTATGATACTTTAGTTTTAAGTGGTTTTTTTTGCTAATTTTATTGTTTCAGTTTGTGTACATAAACAGGCCTTATGTTATTGCTACTGTCACTTAAAATCAGACAAAAAGAATTACAGAATTAGTTGAGAGAATTTGTTCAAAGATCAAAACATTGTCCCTTAGGTAATTCTTTTTGTTCTTATAACCTTTTCTTTTAATTATGTAGTGATATTGTTAGGAGAAAGTTTATGTTGCTCACTCTTGGGATTTGAACCTGGTTAACCAGATAATTAGTAAATCAAGCAAATCGTAAGAGAAATAATCTATTGCCGCTACCAAACAAACACAAAAATTTATTTGGAAACATAACAATTTATACTATCTTGTTCATGTTCTTAATAAATTATTACATTGATCCTAGATTCTGGCTTAAATGTAACAAGAACACTCTTAATATCAGCATTAAGTCTAGCTTGCTTGGAGATTAGATAAGAAATGACAAGGCGATTAATTCTACATGAAACATGATTTACTCACTAAAGGTTTTTCACTTTCTCCTTTATTGACAGTCGAGTATTCTTCAGGATATTTACTTTTTACATTGTATTTGATGATTTTTTTCTGAATTGATTTAGTTTGCATGTTAGCAATCACCAGAAATACTTATGCAGTCGGAGGCTATACGCATGTATAATTAATTGCAAATTCAAGATCACTTTTTTGTTCAAGATGTTGAGAATTATAACAGGAAGATCTCAACTTTCTTTAATATATTGAAACCTAATAATCAAACCTTCAAAGGATAACAATTTCATGGACTGAATCTGAGTTTGGAATATCTATCACTAAAATCATTTTCAAATACCACTATCACTTTGGTAGTTGTCTGAAAACATCAAATCTAGGACATCATCTTAATCTATCCTTCATGACATTTTTTGGTCACCATGAAGTGCCCTGATTCTCTTAGCTTTCGTTCGAGAAAATATGATATTCTAATTGAAAATAAGAAAGAAGGGTAGGTCACCTCCTAAAACAAAACAAACGACACAAATATTCGAATGATGGCTGTAAAGTCAAAAGATACATTGTGACAAATTGTGTTATTGTTCGGATGTGAATAATTTAACTTGTAACTATCGTGAAATAGTACTGCTTATGAGTTAAATCCAGTAACACTGTAAATCACAGATCACAATAAGTTCACTTTCTATTTCATTTCGCGATGTGAGGAGAAAGGAGTAGTGGAACCTACAAAACGTGACTTTCTGTCAGATTTATCTCTGCTTTCAGTATAATTGTCCAAACATTTATTTATTGATAGGGACAACCTGTAGTTCTTACAATAAACTATTTATCTAGAATGACTTACGGGCGTGTGATCTTAAAGCGAGCAGCTGCAAGAACCAAAAATCTGATCTTAGCGAGAACTGACATGCTGGCTGACCGAATTATATAACTCAGAACACTGTTATACTAGGACTCTGTATAATTGGCACGATTTTATTGGAACAAAGAGAACTGTTATTTCCTAGTGAATGAATAAACAAGCCGTATTTAGGAAGTTAGTAAACTGGTGTACAACGCGATATGTCTTGGGAAAAAAGCGTTTCGAAATAGCTCGAGTTAAACACTTGATCAGGTTATTAATATTAGCTGGGAAACGTATACATGCTAAAGCGATGACTATGTTACAACAAGCGAGTGAAAATTTATGACGCGTTTCACAAAGTCTGAGGATCTTGCTAACCAATATCGTATCATAAAGAAGCAAGGAAAAGTAGTATTTAAGGAAGCAAACACAAAAAATTGAAATGAAATACAACATAAGTACGGGCGTTAATCTACTGTGCGTGGCATTCCAAATCGCTTTGGGGTTATTACACTAATCATTAGCTCGGCCTTCCCTTTGTAGTAGAATCATTGTATCACAGACGGGTCTTGGAAAATTATACATTGGGACCAAGGTATACTCGAGAACCGTGCCACCCTAGTAAGGTTTCAATTATGGAGAACGAGACCGTAATAAATTTCAGGTTGTGTTGGACAGGTAGAGAGATAAACCAATCGCAAGTGTAGCGGATGCCATCAAAACGTGAGAACAATTTTAATTTGACTAGTATTCGGATCTTTAAATTATATATGACGCTCTTCATTAACGTATGAAAAGTGTAAGTAAACCGGCAAAAAAAAAACCTTCGAATTCCGTTCCTTTCGCTTTCGCTCTGCAGAGAAGAATTATTTCGACGATACGAAATGCAATAAATTATCGAGTGTGTATTCGAGTACGATGTACACAAACAATTCCAGACTGGTTTTGGCAGACGATTTTGGCTCTATTAACGATTAGACTCAGCTGGATCGGGGGAAAAAATTGTCCTACAAACAAAAACGGAAAATATCCGTCTTTATCCATATTCGCCGCTTACCGTTGCTTGTTGTGGAAGATGCTTGCGTACCAGCTCCTTTGCCAGTTCAGGCTTTTTGCTAGCTTCAGCTCTGTCAAATGCGTCCTAATTCAAAGACAAGAAAGAAAAACAATGATTTCTTTATGGAAGCTTCCGCGGTATAATCGTTAGTGTCCGCAAATTACGGAAGAGTGTTCGCACATAGCATACAAGATAATCGCCAGGTGAGCTTTCTCGTTCCTTACCACTTCGTCGAGAAAGTCAATGGCTCGCTGAAGTCTCTCGCTGCCAGAGCAAAACTGTCGGAACAATTCCCTTCCAATGGGCTCTTGTACACAGGTCCTGTCATAAGTGAGCTGAACTGTGTGTTGAAAATATACAGAAAGTAAGTCCGACAAACTGGAAAGCGGTTCAAACAAATCCGATTGACTGTAGGCAAGGGGACAGCTAGCGAAAACACCAGGGAAAGTGAACTCCAAGGAAATGCAAGAGACAGCTTACTCTCGTTTTTCAAATGTGCAGATATTGTATGATGCGGAAACTTTAACAGTTCCCTCCATTTCTTGCTCCTGCCTTTAGTTTTACCTGAAAGATGCAACAAAAAATGTCAAATATACGAAAAGTTAGGCTGCTTAGTGACACTCTGAGCTCGAAAATGCGAGAGCTCGCAAACGCACACACGAGAACAGGCGACAATCGACTAGGCGAACTTGAACGCTCGCTGTTTATGAGACCTACTCTCCATGAAAACCGACACGACACTCACTCTCTCGTGCTTTTAAATACACAGTGTTGGCTACAATATTTTCTAGTTCCATAACTTGGACCAAATCATTAGGAAATAAAGGTTTGTAAGGAAACCACCCACAGGAATATGGCTGTCATGGACCGAAACACAACCTAGGTCTCTGATTGGTCAAGCTATTTCGTTAATCACGTATAGCCTTTCTGCAGGGCACCCTGGTTGAATTTGCCTCAGGAACACCCCTGATAGCTGATATGTTGAACGCTACTGGCTTTCACTGAGAGGAAGAGAGAGATTTGCAGCTCCCAAGGCGATTATTTGTCGACAAATACGGTATGAGTGGAATCGTCAAGTTCTTTGCAGGTTCACAAATTGTTTTCTCTAGGTTGTTCCGACTGTCGGACACCCCCTGGGGACAAAGGGGCACTTTTAATCGAGTACCACCCGTGTTTGAAAGGATGATCTCCAAGGCTAAATAAAATAAATAAAAGAAGATGAAAATTCATCATTAATTACTTTGTCAACCACCCATTTTAAGAAGACAGAGTTTTTAAAAGTTCTTCAATTATTATGTTTTTCTTTGGAATTTTCATAGTTCAGGGAATCCAAGAGCGCCCTTTATCTTTCTAGTTTGTACCAGGAGAAACTGCAACAATTCTTGAAATTCAATACGAAGGTATTTTACCTCAGCTCGATCATTTTGTTGAGGAATCAAAAGAAAAAATTTCCCTTCGGTGCAGTGGTTAAGATGGTAGCTATTTTAGTTGTATTTTTCCAGACATGATGTAATAAAATGAGTAATATAGCTTATTAAACATTTTCTCCTGCATTAAGTAATTAAGAACATTATGAAATACATTTAAATTTCCAATAAATATGGGCTAAAGCAGCTCTGATCGTAGGAATGGTAAAAGTTGCCTTCATTTTGTAGATGGAGCTACATGAGCCCAACAGTTTAGAACAGTCTGCCAAGAAAAGTTTGACCAAGCCATCTTAAATTCATATATCGCGCAATATTAATTAAACTTACTTTTAATTTCTAATCTTTATATAGTAAAAGCCGTAAATGCTGTATATATTAAATTGTATTTTTAAATTAATAATTTATCTTTTCATCTGTTTAAAGCACATTTGATCCATTTTCATTAACGCTATGTAAATCTTAATAGTTTATCAAAATGGAATTGTATTCATCATGATCTAACCGATTTTTTGAAGACGAAATTTGCAGCCATTTGAGTGAAAAAGGACGAAAAGTTTTTTGCGCTCGATCAGAGCTTGAAAATCACTCTAGCGAAGGAAAAGGAAAGGAGAAAAAGAAAGAGCGAGGAGGGAGAAAGGAGAAGAGAAAAAAGCAATGGATGCACTTTTAGTTCTTATAATGGCTACTTTGGAGAGAGTTTTTGGCCGGAAAAAAGAAAAACACCGTTTGACGGATGAGATCTATTTGACAGTAAAGTTTTCAACAATGCTGCTAGATAGGCAAAATGCACGGTGCCAGAATTTTGAGATAAATTCAAAACTAGATATTACATTGTAAGCCATTTTACTTTTATTTTCAAGGTAGACTTCTGAAAGTAGCTTTCCACTCACCCAACCACGCCCAGAAGTGGAAAAATCATAAAACCTCAATATGGTGATAAATCAATAAGGTTTCACCTTGGACTGTCAGCAGTCAGAGGCAGGACCCGTCAAAAGTGTGCAGGGTGGCATGCTGAACAGCGCGCGTGGCTATTTTCTCATCTTGTGTGTTTCAGTAGCCTCACACGCGCGTGACGACTGACGAAGAACGTACGTCTGCGTGGGAGGCTAGTGTTTCACTTGATGCAAGGCTATTCCAATTCCTTCTTAGTGACCTTCTAGTCTTTTTAGGGGCTGTTCCAAGCGCCCCTAGGTCAACATTATCGTTATGATTATGATTCTTTCTTGGATAAAGTCATTCATTCGCTGTGCGTGGCACAAAATCAAAACTTCCTCTCTTACAGCCGTGAAATAGGATAAAACAAGAAAATACAGGAAAACGTGCCTCCCAAATTTCCGACGGCAAGTGTTGTTATTTTTGTCTCATTTACCAGCGCAGCCCTTAGTCGTGTTATATATCCTTTAGATACTGTTGGTTTTTCTAAATATTATTACTACTAACTCCGCCCCCCTTCCCCCACTACTGCATTCTCTTACTTGGCTTTTCGGTGAACAAGATTAAGACGCTTAGACCAGCGGAGACATGGCATGGAACAGTTCATGTTAAAACGAAAATAAATAAGAAAACGTCAGCATAAATAAGATTTTATGTAGGTTCATGAAGTTAATGTATAAATTGTAAGGCACAAAAATAAATATTGAAGCTACAATAGCCTCGTCTAGGTTCTATATCCCATAATTTGTCCAACAATCACTGAATGGCATCGCTGGTATTTTAATTACCCCCATGTACATACGTAACAAGCCAACTAGCTAATAGGCCATTTCCGAGTTCCAAAGACTTTCACTTTCACAACGAGGCTAATTGCAAAACCATTCTCTTGAGAATACGGTTTAAAATAACTTCAGTCATTGCACTTTAACATGCATGGTCTAATGTAATGAGGACATTTCTAAATGAGCCTTCACAGTGCTTTGTGAAATCACGACGAGCATGATCCAATGTGCTCAGGGTGAACTTAGAACCCTCGTCAAGCTCTTACCTATCACCTTCTGAGTCCTGTCTCCGAATACCGCCCGAATCTGTTGTTTCGACAAAATGGTTGAAGAACATGACGTTTTCTGATGCCCACTACCTGGAATCACTAAAATTAGAAGCTTTTCCTGCCTTTTCCCACACCTGCTAGCTTGCTGAAAGAAAAAGGATGCTGCCAACTGAGCAAGAGGAAACGCTGACTGCCAAGATTGACGAAACAGTTCGCCAACTCAAGAAACAAAATACAGACTGACAGCTAACGACAATCGCAGAGAACGTAGTCACACCTGACAGTTACCGTAAATCCTTTATTAGGTATCCCCTGTCAAATGAGCCCCCTCCCCCTCTCTAGTAAGCCCTCCTTTTCGGGGGAAGAAAGTTAATAAGCCCCCCTTCCCTCCCCATTATTATTATTCACTGATAAATGGTAGACTGTGTATTAATCAATCACGACTCTTTTCAGGAGCCTATTGCGACTGTAAAACTTTGTGTGGGCTGATCCAGGATGGTCTATTAATTTACCAGCTGGAAGTTGATCCTCGGCTGCATGAGCTCCAACGTCGTCCTCTTTGCATTCTAGTTCTTTTATGGAGAACTGATTCCATCGTCTTTTTAAATAAGGCTCACCCCTCAAATACGCCCCCCCCCCCCCCGAAGGCTAAAAAAAGAGTTTCCGCCGTATTATTTTACAGTAGTATATATTCTGAATATTCGTGGTTTTTCCTAATAAACCCGATGAAGACTGGTATTGGCCAGTCGAAATATTGTATACCTCAGCCTTTTTCACGTTGTTTGATCAGTTTTTGCAGTGGTCTTTTTTACTTTAATTCTGTAGAGAGTTTACAGTGTACTCAGTTTGAGTTCAGCAGATTGAGCTGTTTGTATAAATTGTATGTCACATTACTGTAATAATTGTTAATTCACTTACGTGAGGAAAAAAACAGGAGAAAATGCATCCCTGCATATTCTCTTGGCGTGATTTAAAACCGTATCAGCAAGGTGACGTTTCTAAAAAAATTAGGTAGCAACTGCTTGCCCCCGCTCGCTCGAGGCTCAAGGCAAAGCAAGGCAGGAAATTTGAAAGAGGAGGATATTGATATTAATTATGAAAATCATAGAAAAAGTTGTGCGTTAACTTTCAGTCGAGTCAAATGCCATATTTAATCTTTGTGACATTTGCATGCGGAGTGTTTCCTCTTTTTGGTCTCCACGGTAGCCAACATGTTGTGGAGAATGAGGGTACATGTGAAACTGAAAAAGACGTTAAAAAAATATTTAGGTTTTTAAATCTCTGTAAAGTTTTCGTGAATATGTTTAAGTCTGGGTCAGGAAGTCGTTTATGTCGTTTAAGTGAACGTTTAGGAACTACGCCCGACAGAGTAAAAAAAAGCAGGCTTTGATGATGTCTTCAACTGACCCTCCCTCGCGAAAGATAAACGATTATCTTTAAGAAACTTTTAAGACTACAAATTATTGAAAACACTGTCCTCTACTTACGTTACCCAGGTTATCTTTCTGTTTTCCTCTAATATTTCTCTCGGCGACTACTGTCCTATGTTAACGGTAAAAACAGGCTTGGTGTTTTAATCCTCGAACTTCCCAAGTCTTCGACGCTTACAAAGATGTGAATTCTTTTTATAATTCTTTAAACTATTCTTAACTCCATAAAACATTCCAGACTTTAAAAAATTTAGAAAGTGAGTAAAACATGAGAAGTGTTGCTTACATGTTCTTATGAACATAAACGTTCCGCGAAATGTTTTTAATCATCGCAAAAAATTATAGTCTTCCGTTATTTTTTCGCCGACAATCACTCAGCTTGAACATCCTTTGATAATGGCAGATAGGTGCCAATTTTGGCTTATTGTGCCTGCTAGCTATGCATTGTTTTTCATTGCTGGGGATATTTGTAGTGCAGTTACAAAAAAATAACAAATTAGAGATCTTGACACATCGAAATTGATTGGCGTATTTCAGTTTAAAGAGCAATCACGGCATGTGTTTTACAAGCGGTCAAATAATTTATGAAAACAAAAATTTTGGTACAAATTCTTACGGGTGTGCGACCTTCTTTTTGGAAAGCGATTACCGAAGAATTAATATCCAAGAAAAAAGATCAGGACCATCTGAAATTATGGGACATATTTCAGTTGTGGATTTCATATATATCATCCAATGTTTACGAAAATGTGACTGTAATCCCCCTTAAGTGCTTCTTTGCACCTAAGATAATGAGTAGGAGGGTTATTAGTTGGCTATATATAAACCAATTGTGTTTCCATGAAAGGAAGCAACCCAGAAGAGCATCCTCGTTCCCAAGGCTTTTCCCAGTCTCAGGAAAAGGTATGGGAACAGGTTTGCGAGAAAAGGGAGGTAAAAGAGATGGAAGTTGGAGGTGGGGAGGGGGAAGGGTGTTTTAGCCTGCGTAGCAAGCGTTTCCGTTTGGTTTCGGAGCAAAGGAAGACCGAGGAACGGAATTCTCGGTTTTGGCCGCGCGAGAAGTGAAACGCGCGGTCTTTGACTCACGTTCCTCGTTCTTTGCTCCTAACCCGTACGGAAACGCTTGCTACGCAGGCTAAGGGTGTTTTGAAAGTTAATGGGCAAGGGATTTTTGCTTGCTGGTTACTTAGGTTAGTGTCAATCTTTTTTTAATGTTGCTGGATCCATTCTAACGGGCCCAAAAATTATCATTATCATACTGCATCCAACCACATCGAATACCGCCCAAAACAGTTTGCGAATCAACATTTTTTAAAATCACATCTAGCAATGACGTTGACTGTTTATACGGGTTCGTTATAGTGGTTAGGTTCATTTTTATATATGCAGCAGTCCATGATGCGTATACTCGGCCTGTATTCTCTGACTTAAGTGAACTGTTGTTTCAGGTCCGATTCAGGGGAAATGGAACGCAATTTTGGGCATCTTGGAAACCTCGAATTTAGTCAGTCATTCGTTCCATATCAGTTTATGTTGTTTGTTTGTCGCTTTCTTTTGTCGCTTTCTCACCCAACCCTGTTAGCTCCGAGAGATGAAATGGATTTGAATCATGATTGTTTTGTTTGCGCTCTAATCTAAGTAATGATAACATAATTTCTGCCCAAAGGCCAGGTCTGAAAACGGGTATGGATTTTAGAGGTCTAGTCTGAAAACGAACGAGTGTGGAAAATTACATTTTTTGGTCTGAAATCGGATCAGGATTTATAAAACCGGGCGGCACACCCCCACCAAGAATTTCCAGGAGTACCCCCCCACCTCTAGCGAATACAGCCTTCTCCCGGAGCCTTCTCTCCTCACCCCTCGCCGCTAGGGACCTTTCTCTGCCCCGAAACGTCCCCAGCGGCGAGGAGCGAGGAGAGAAGGCTGTGTTCGCAGGCTAACGGTTGAAGGGGAGGGTGAGAATGATGGTGCTCTTTCCCTGCGCGCGCGTCTATCACGTTCTCTCGCGCCTAATTCTCCCTTCCCTTCTCGTTCAAGAGTCTGCCACGGAACCAACAATTTTGAATGGTGTTACATGTTACGTCATAAAGATCTGGGGTTTTATATTCCTTTGGGATTTCAACAAAGGTCGATTTGAAAGGCCCCAGTCGATGATGATAGCTCATGATCAAGAAATCATTCAACCATGGAGCCGGGTGTGTTTGGGAAGCGAAGCGAGTGTCACTAACTTTATTTCTCTTTGACAGAACAGATTTAGATTTTTTAGGCCGAGCTTGGTTTGAGCTGTAAGCCCAGAATGCCCTTTCTTCGAGTGCTTGAGGTGAAAGCGACGAACTTGCCTTCTGTTGACGGGAAGAAGGGGAAAAGTGACCCGTACGCCAGTTTGGAATGCCAAGGTACCCCTAACGTGTTTTTGTGTAGAAAATCAAATTTATAAATAAGCTAGATAGAAAGTCTCAAATTAAAATAGGTCATCGTTGGCTCGTGATGTCTTTGCTACTGGGGAATTTGGGAGGGGCTTGAATGGTACCAGTGTGTTACCTGTATGAAATACAAAAGCAAAGCAGTCGCTGAAGGCATCAATAGTTCTTTTCACATGTTGTAGCATGAAAGTTTTAACTTTCGTAAAATTGTTAAGTAAACAATGAAAGTGAAGGCTGGGACGAAAAGGAAGTAATTTTACAAGATCGAGAACTTTCATGCATATTATTGGTTTAAAATCTGAAATTCCGCAGACAGGAAAGTGTTACATATTAGCCACGGATCACAGGCTTTTTATAGAAAGGATATCAAGTTCTGAAATTCCATTGGGAGTTCCAGACCGAATGATCAAGTCGCGTTCAGGTTTTATTTTCTGGGGTGTAGTTCCTGGCGACTATCGCCCTAGCTGTTTCGATCCTCCTTTGACAGTGAAGCTGGCTCTTGGAAACATTGCTCGAACGCTTTATGTCAAGATTATAACCTTTCCTCGGCACCAAATATGTCCCGTCTCCGGGTGCTTGAGGCGAAAGCTACAAATCTGCCCAATGTGGAGAAGTACGGAAAAAGCGACCCATACGCGTCTTTTCAGTTTCAAGGTATCAGTCGTCTTTGTAGATTTTTATTGATGTTTGTTTATCCTGAAGAGCTACCATAACCTAGTTTTAATGGCCCGTACGTGCTGTTAAAGACGAGATTTCTCTTGCCTTCCTGAAACTGGAATAGGTAGTGCGGAGCCTGGGGTTACAGAGGTCGTCCTCATTCAGATGATATTGGACTGTGAGCCTCTGATGGATAATAAAAAATGATCTTTTTGCTTTTTAGACCATTTTTAAATGATTGGTGGCCTTGGTAACTCATAGAATTATAATGGTGAATTTGATCTTAGACTCGACGAGAAGGTCGGAAGGTGACAGACCGGCAAACCTTTTATCCACATGCAGGCACGCAACACCAGCCGAAACAAAACAAATCTTTGTGTTTTTAATTAGCTTGGTTTACAGCATTGTCCTTTGAGAAGCTTCTCCAAACAGCTGATATAAAGCGCTGAATTATTGTTAATGTCATTCATACCCATTCAGTCGACATGAATAATTTATGATAAATTATGCAGAATTATGTTTTTGCGGCTATCGAATCCCAGGACAACATGTATGATGGCGGATGAATGAAGATCAAGAAGCCAATTCAAAACATAAAATATTGCCACCATGCTTCGCGTTGCGGTGAGCAGCGCTGTAAATTTGCCCAATGTAGAGACGATTGGGAAAAGCGACCCGTATGTGTTGCTCACTTTCCAAGGTTCGTGTTCGGTGTATTTTATCAATTTTTTAGTGCGCTTTCGAGGTTTGTTTTTCGGCAGAGGAGGGGCTTGCGACCATGCGGGTAATATTCAGCGATTGTACTGTAATCTCCGCTTTCTTGCTTTGTTCATGTTAGTGTTTTTAACAATTTTTTTAGGGGTCAAAAAAAAGACAGAGGTGATTAAAGATGAACTGAACCCTGTTTGGAACGAGGTAAAGTCGTTTGGAAGCTCTTTAGCAGAAAATATCAGTTTGAATTTTGTCGCGAATGGCACCGCTAATCTGTCAAATTAATAGTTGAGGGTTTTCCTCACGGTGTTTAAGTTAGTTTTTTATTTTAGTATGACTTCTTAATCCTTTTTGTTTTCGTTTCTTAAGAAATTTGAATGGGATTTAGGTGGCCAACAGCTCTCCGTGGAAGAAAATCTTATCGTCCATGTCAAAGATTGGGAACGAATTGGAAGAAATCGGTAGGCCTGACCTGAAACGTGTTTAACCTTTAATGTATATATTAAAAATTTCCCTGTTCTTTCTTTCATTATTTTTTTTTTTGCTTTTTGTAGCTAGTTTAACCTGGTAGAGGTAACATTTCTTTCTTCCTTTATTCTCAAAGTTAGCTTTTAAGGTCTTTTGTTGTTTTTTTGTTTTATTGCGCGAATGAGAAACCTGATAAAGCTTATAAAAGACGCTTTTTAAAGTGATACGAATTAATTTTAGGTTAACACAGTGTGACTCTAAAATGTTGTTATTTTTCGCTTTAAGGAAACATTTCTGGGGAGGTAGGCAAAACGAATAATGTACTCCGTTTGTGAACTAGCGTACCTCAGTAACAAATGGAAATTTTAAGCTCTCACTGACGCTTCTGTCAAATTACAAATTCTGCAAAGTTACGTTTCTTATATAAAAGCTTGGACTCTTCCAGTTGTGATGAAAGAACGCGCAATCTATTGTTTAACATCTCCTTGTTCGTCTTTTTCTGCCAAAGCAACTGGTGGAAGGCAGTTAATTCGACAGAGGGCTAGGACCTGTCAGAGAGAAATGTTTGGTTTAGCTCAGCTTAGCTTTTAGCTCCTATAAAAAAGCTATTTCGCGAAAAAACGCGCGAATTTTATCACGTGCGCGAAAGCAATTTGATATCTTGAAAGCTTATAATTTTGGGGAGCTTGAAATGCCACGCTGTACCCCCAGTCTTTATTTTTGATCGAGCGACATAAATAGATGAACATTATAACGTCTTCCTCTGTGTAAATTCCCGATGTTTGCCAATATGGCAAAATGGAATAAATTAAAACCCTTTGAAATCTTTATAATATGAATGAAATTCAGTCACTGTTGATTAGGTCGAAAAGGCCCAAAAAGACAACAAATCTCTCAATTACTTTTCTTGAGTTTATTGTACATTTTAATCACTGCCCTTAAAGTTTTCCAGTATCATATATCTCCTAGGTGATTCAATAAAAAAAAAAAATTATATTCATATGGGAGGCATGATTAGTGTATAAAATTTTACTGCACAATGTTTTTACAATTCCTCTTTTCTTTTTAGTTTCTTATATTTCTTTAATGTTTTTAGTTATTTATAGGATATTGATTTAAATATTATTTGAAAGAAGAACGTAAAAAATATTTTGTACAAACTTCCTAAAATATTTTCCACTTTTCAATTAAACATGCTTTTAAATTATTCATTATCCTTGATCCCTAAGTAAATAAGGAAGCTGTATACCTGAGTAGGACAAAAAAAATCTTTTAACACTAACAACTATATGTGCATTTATTTTGATATATTTTTATATCATGTTTTAGAAAAGTATGATTCAGCAAGTGCCACTACAAAGAATACTATAATAAATTCTTTAAACAATTCAGATCTCTGAGAAAATATTTTTTCATAGACAGTCTAAATATGGGGGTGTTATTTTGATGTCAAAAATCCATATTAATATTTTATGAATGCAACTATGATGTACATGTAATTATTATTATTTTATTCTTTTTTTTACTGAATAACAAATCACCCCCTCCCCATAAGGAAAAACAAATGAAAAAGGAGAAATAAAAATCTAAATTTAAATTAAAAAAAAGTACTTACAAAAATAAAGGAAGTTAATTGTTGTTATTGTTGTTTGATTAACCCTTTAAGTCCCGATAGTGACCAAGATCAATTTTCTCCTAACAATATCCATATGTTACTAAGAGAAATAGTTATGAGAGTTAATAAAATGATCACCTAAGAGAAAATGCTTTGATCTTCTACCAAATTCTCTTAACTTATTCCTTAAGGAAATGTATAGAGACCAGTTTGGAGAATTTTTATGTGGATATTGGGGCTTAAAGGATTAATGAGATATACAGTTTTACCTGTTATATTAGAATAATACAGTAAAATCTCTCACTGTGATCGCTTCTCATAAGTGACCCCCTTATGAGAATACCAACTTTGTAAATAACTGTTTTTTTCTCATCCAAATACTAGCTGTTTCAAAAACTATCTTGTAAGCGACCACTGCTCAAATTTTTTTACTTAACTGTGACCACTGTTTCGGCCACAATTTTGAGGTCATGCTTTTGTTATCTGTTTCTGGTAAGAGACTACTAGGTATGATCAAGTATGATTGTAAGAAAATCATTACTCAATTGTCAAAAAAGTGCTGAGAGATAATAACGGTTTACTTGCAAAAAAGATGGATGTATTAAGATCTGTATGTAAACAAGCCGATTGTTACAGTTGTAAGTAATAATATGGTTTGGAACTCCAGCTGATATTTCTTCATCACAGAAAAATAATCTTGTGCTAGTTCTTCAAGAAACAATAATAGCTATTGTTTTGACTTCCCCAACCGAGCAAAAAAATATTTGGTAGAGTCATTTTTCGAGCCTCTACAGGTCAACCAGGTCTTGATTTATTTAGACTAGAGGGTGGTTGGCAGCTTGTGAAAAAATGTATCAGGCATTCCTTTTTCCCCCCTCTCTTCTCCAAAAAAAAAAAAGACAAAAATATATTTGGGAGTACTCCTTTCCTCAGGTCAAAGATATCAATCGTTTGTATTTTTGTACAATTTTGAGACTTAATTGCTTCATATTGAGAAATCATGATCATACAGCATATTTTTATCCAACATGAAGCAAGTATTTACTTGGTTCTATAGTGATTTATGAAACTGTTACCTTATTTTTATGTGCATTTAACTTACTGACCATATATTATATTGTTTGTCTTCAGGCTGCTTGGCACAGCTACCGTCCCCCTGAAAGATCTCGTGAAGGATAGCAGTCACACAATGCAAGCTGATGTTAATTTATTGGATGGTAATAACAGAATGACTCAGGTATGTGAGCTGGTTTTAATAATAATTATTGACCTTTTAATTCTAAATATGCTAAAAATATTTTTTATGTACACAAATTTAATTTTGTGTAACTTTAGGTGACTAGCAATGCATTTCTAGCCATATACCTAGCAGTCCTGGTAAGGCTAGGGTACTTTAATCCCATTAACTCAACCAACAGTTTTCTTCAATTCCACAATCAGCAACAACAACAATCTTTATTTGTACTCACTCTCTTGCTCAAAAATAAATGACAACAATGAAAATATTACAAGTAAAAATTAGAGTACTGGCTGACTGGAATAACCGTAGGGGCTATAAAGCAGAGCCAGGCAGCTAGTTGACATCAGGGTTAAATAGAAATAAATTAAAGGTCAACAAGAAAACCGAAGCATAAACGCACTCTTAAAAAAAAGAGAGAGAGAGAAGAGGAAAAAATGCTATTTCTACACTATTAAGGAAGTCTAAAATAGTTAAATTTACAGTTATATATGAATACAAAACATTAATATAAGAAGAGCACACCAGAGCTATGGCAACTAATAACAAGTTATATATTAAACTATGGAAGAAAAAAACATTAAGACATGGAAAGGTGACAGAATTTAGCAAAAGACTAATTTACAGGTAATTTGGGAAACAACACAACTGCTTATAGGAATACAAGTAACTAATAATCTTTGACAAGATCCCTTTTTACTGCTCCCTTGAAGTTTGAAATAGAGAAGTCAGAGGGTTTTCAAATTTTCACTAATTGAGTTCCATACTTTGGGGCCCTTAAATCTTATGTTAAATATTCCATAATTTGTTCCTACTTTAAGTAAAGTATAGAACATATTTGAGGCACTTCTTGTATTATAGTTTTGTCTTTTATTGACTTGTGTGAAGAAAGTATCAAACACAGATGGTAGACATCTATTGTTAAATTTATACTTTAAGACTCCAATATTAAGAAAGACAAAGTCAGGCAGTTTAACAATAATCTAGGTGTTTGAAAATTGGACTAGAATGTTCATGAAATTTAGAGAATGGTCATCACACACATTGCTCTCTTTTGTAAAATGGACAAAGGCTGGGTAGTTGAAGAATAGGTGTTACCCCAAGAAATTAACCCAATGGGTTATTAAGGTGTAATATAGTTTAACCAGAATATCTGAATTCACGTAATAATGAAGTTTAGAAAGAAATGCTCATTTTGGTCAAACTGCTTGCAAAATGCGTTATTATAATTTATGCATTAGGTTTGGTTCATGAAAAGTTTGCCGTCTGAATCAAAGCTGTTCCAAAGTCGTTCCACAGTCGAAATTCCCGGCTGGGGTAGGCGTGAAGACTGGCTGAACTGTTCCAAATTGAAATAGGCGTTCCTAATTGATTCAGACGTCGAACTTTTCACATGCTTAATTCAATGTGTTAGGTCCGGCTCTTGAAAAGATTGGCGTCTGAACCTGGCCTTACTGACTTTAAAAGGAAAAAATAAAACTTTCCCTCCCCCATCTCCTCCATGCAATGTTGTTCCTCAGTTCAAGTTACCTGTAGAAAACAACAACACCCTAACTTTGAATGGAGGGGAGAGGAGAGGGGTGTAGATCTATCGTTTTGTTCCCTCAAATTACCCGATTTGAGGACAATGTCTCAACAATTTTGTTGCCAATTGTATTTCATTGTTGACTGTACTGTTGTTTTCTGTAGGCCAAGCTGTCACTGCGCTTGGAGTACATACCTCCTAAACCAAGCAAAAGTGCAGAAGGAGACATAATTTCAGCAGTGGATGAGACAGATCTTGGAGCTGAGCCAGGAGAGGAGGGTTTTGAAGATGAGTTAGGCATGGATGAAGCAGAAGGGGGAGGTGCAGAAGGTGTTGGTGAGGGTGTCAGGTAAGTTCTCTAGTCATTACTTTACTTCAGTAAGGGGGTAGCCACAATGAGGAGTACAATAAAGTCTTCATTTTTAACTTAACACTTCATGATCAGCTCAGCATGTATACTTACAGCCAATTTAGTGCTCTATTACTCACCATACTCATACAGGTTAAACAAATTTGGGAGACTACAGTTATTAATGATATAGTACTACATGTGTCATGGTACTCTGGTTGGAGGGCTTTTGAAAATATTTATTATAGTGTTGTTACATCTTACTCATCAGCGGGAGTTTGATGCACAATTTACAACTGCAGTATGTAAAATCAACTATGTTAACACTCGGTCTTTTCTAATTGGAAGGAAAAAACGCAAGAGAAGACGGACAGCCAGACACAAGTTATCAAATAAACCTCAAGATTTTCAGGTACTTTCTGGACACCTTTGGGTTTCCACCACAACCCCTTTCTTGAATGGTTCTCAATTCCACATTTGCAACATGCTTAGAACCATGAATTATTATCCAATAGATCCACTTTAGGACAAACCCCCTCTGGACCTATTCTTGATGCCCCTTGCCCGTTGCTCATACAGCCCCACTTGAAAGGGACTTTGATCATGTTCTCCACAGAATCACCTAAAAATTGCTGGGTAAATGTTAAGTCCCATTTTTGAACCATCCACCCTCTCAAAAGCTAAGACCAAAACTTATAGACAGACTTAATTATATCTTGCTTGGTTAATGATACAGGTATGGGTGTGCATTTGTGCCAACTCTCCCATATTATTTGGGAGTCTTCCAGATACGACACCTGATCTCCCGGTCTCCTGTACAGGTCACCATACAGTTTGTATCTCCCGGATGAAATAATCTTTGAGCTTTTCTGTGCCTTAAATAGTTTGAGATTTAGCCCATTTTTAGCTCAAAACATGAATTTTTCTTATCTGCATTATGAACATCAATGGAACATGTTGCGATCTTGCGAAAAATTAAATTTCTATTCCACTTTTAAGACTGATGTTAGTAGATCAGAATATTTAGATCTTATTAAAAACGAAAAACACTGCCAGGCATTAGCAAAATTAGGATCAAGTAATCACAAGTTAAGAATTAAAAATGATAGATACCATATTCCTAAAATTCCTGAGAATATGCACCAGTTTTGCTAGCTGAATAAAGTAGAGAATGAAATTCATTTTCTGTTAGGATGCAGAAATGAAGGTACTGTTCCTATGCCCTTGCAAATGGCTTTGCGTGGCTCGGATGACCACTTAAAATGGCGGTCCCATCTCCAGTAGGAGATGTAAAAAATAGTGTCCCCAATTGGTACTTTCATGCTAAATACATTGAAACTCAAATAAAGTGCATTTTTTCAACAGGTTCGTGTTCGAATTATAGAAGGTCGGCAACTTTCTGGTTCCAACATCAGTCCTGTTGTCAGGGTAACAGTGGCTAATCACACACGCCAGACCAAAGTCAAGCATTCAACAAACAGACCTTTCTATGATGAAGTAAGTGGTAGAGTGTTAATGTAAAATTGTAAGTACTTTTAGAAAATGGTTAGGCATCATTGTAGGATATTAATTTAAAGGGAATTCTACTGCAGTGTACTGTGTGGTCTTAGGGTTTAATTTGATCCTCTGCGGCTTCGCTGAATAGTCTGGTTTCCACTAGGGCTGCCTGCCCAAGGTAACTATATGGGTATTTTAGGGCTTTTGATGTAGTTGAAAAAAAGAGATATTGACAGCAGCACATGCTTTGGCTGCCTTGTGTGTCACTAAGCTGAGGTTAGGAATGGGGTCATTTTTGTGGTGCTTCTTAGTGCATTGTGCAATAGTTACTCAAAAGGTTCCATATATCAGCAGCAGAATAAATTAATGTTGACATGTTTTTGAGTTTGCTAATTATTTCATAGCATAATTATTGGTCTGGACCTTCTAGTCTGAATTGTAGCCTATAAACAATACCATATTCCTTGAAGTTTGATTTGGCCTGATTGAGTTTCATTGATATTTTTTTTTCTCCACCAGCTCTCAGTATAGCAGTTCTGATATTATCCACAGCAAAAAGATTTTGCTTACATTTTGGTGCTGCTTGGTGCATTGTGCAATAGTTACTCAAAAGGTTCCAAATATATAAGCAGCACAATAAATTAATGTCGACAAGTTTTTGAGTTTGCTAATTATTTCTTAGCTTGTGAGCATGCAAAAAAATCTCACCATTTTGGGGAGTTGCGAGAAGTGATGCGAGAGCAGCACATGAAAGGAGATGCAAGTGTGAGGGGTGGGGCAAGAAAGGGAGAGTTAAATGTGAGGATCTCCTATAAAATTTTCATTTCCACCCTGGAAACTGAAGAAAACCGCAAAGCAGTTGAAAACTGTCACTGGAAACAAGAAATGTGTCAGTTTTTTGAAGTTACCCACATCAGACGAAGCCAAATGTGCCAGTTATACTAGCATTCCAGCAACAAAATATTACAATTTTGCCTAAAGGCAAGCACTACTAAAGGAAGACAATTGGTCTGGACCTTCTAGTCTGAATCATAGCCTATAAACAATACAATATTCCTTGAAGTTTGATTTGGCCTGATTGAGTTTCATTGGTATTTTTTTTCTCCACCGGCTCTCAGTGTAGCAGTTCTTATATTGTCCACAGCAAAAAGATTTTGCTTACATCTAATTTACATTTTGCCTTTTTCAAAAGACAAGTTTTGATGCTCTTATTTAATCTCTTGTATCTTGCAGACCTTCTTCTTCAACTTTCAAATGTCTCCACTTGAGCTGTTTGATGAAATAATCAGTTTTGAGGTATAGTTTTTAAAAATGTAGAACTCCCTAATTGTTGGCAAACCTTTTAAAGGGAGTAGTCCATGACTTTGAATGATGAAAATTGATTCATTATTTATAGAACTGATAGACACCCTTTTTAAAAATCGTGGTTAAGTATGTACAAGTGCAAAATTATAAAACTGTTGATAACCATTGGTAAATGAGCCAGCTATCCATGGTGCATTTGCAAATTAAGCTTACCTGTCATTCATTTGCTTATTTTGTCCAAAACAGGTGTTTAATTCAAGGAAGCTGAGAGCAAATGCCATGATTGGATATTTCAAGGTAAAAGTATTCTGCACATACCATATTTTTTTATACAAGGGTGAGGATCTTGTTTTGAAAATTTTACTTATCAAAGTTGATAGGTTGGAGGTGCTTATTATTAATTTGCCTGTTTTAATGCTAAACCCTGGGAAAGCAATTGTTTGATGCTAGGAGGTGTTTAATAGGCCATTTGGACAATGACATCATTTTAGTACTACGACCAGAATCTTTCAGGGTTTTGCTTTCTTGTGCTAATTAGGGCTTTTTATTTGTTATTCAAACCTCACTGGGATTACAAAATTTAAATATGAAAGGAAAAATGAAAAGGATTGTGGTCGTAGTAGTAAAATGATGCCATGGTAGCAAAATTTCTGGATGACAACAAACTGAAAGCATCATGCAAAAAGTGAATTCACACTGTTTCAAACTTCATTGATCTTATTCAATTTCATTCAATTTGTCAAGTGTTGGCCAAATTTTAAAGGGTTGGATCCGAAAGTACCATACCTAAGTTTAGAAAAAGAAATTAGGAAGTGTCATGTTGCAGTCGTGCAACATCAGTGTAGAAATGTAAAAAAGCGTGATGCACATGCAAAGTTGTTGTTTTACTTTATATAAACCTATATTACTTTTTACCGTTCTTGTTGCCCTCGCTGTCACTGTTCCTAATCATAAGCTTCTTATTGTGATCCAAGCATTTTACTACCATAACAACATGACATCACACATCTCTTCTCTGCTAGAACTGTGTTAGAGCTATTGTGAGGTACAATGTATTAAAAGGGCTTGTGTACATTGGAGTCCTAGCTCCTCTGTTCTGTGAGCCACATTATTTTTTTTCAACATTTTCTATTATATAATGGTGGAAGTTCTGTAAATAAATAAAATAAATAAATAGATAAACCTAAATGAGTGGTTAAAGACAGGCTGTGCAATATTGAAAGTTGGTTTACTTAAAACAAAAATATGCTAGAGATTTACTTGAAACTTAAATTATGAAATAGCTCATTTTTGTGCTGTAATAATTCTAGCTTTGTCCTTTATTGTTTTGATTTTGTTACAGAGTGATATTGGCTTTTTTTATGATGAACCATGTGAGTAGAGTACCATAGACTCCTTTAACTTATAATGATTTCTAGGATATTACATTGTTCTTATATATCTTAAACTGGCTGGCTTGCCTTTCCATTTAGTATACTGTGTGTGCTTTCAAAGATGTCACTGATTTAATTTTTCCTAGCAAAAATGATTGTACGTTGGAGGGAAATAGATTTGTCCTTCAAGAGGCGAGCCCACCAAGAGAATGCAGCTTAATAATGTTCTGTTATAATCTTCTATTAAGCTCCCCTCGCAAATAAGCCCCCCGCTCTTCAGGGGAAGAAAGTTAATAAGTACTCCCTCTCTTTTAAGCCACCCCTTCCCTCCCCTTGTTATTGTTCACTGATAAATGATAGACTGTATCAATCAATCAAATCTATGAAGCGTCGTGTGGACTGATCTGGGATGGTTTATTCACTAACTTGAAGTTCGGATTTGTTTTTGATTCTCAGCTGCACGACATCCATCTTCTTGTAACTAGAACTTTTCCACTTTGTATTATAAGTTCTTTATGGAAAATTGATACCATGGACTTCGGTAAATTAAATACCCCCCTTCTCAAATAAGCCCTCCCCTCAAATTTGTTTGAAATAAATAAGCCCCCTCAGGGGGCTTAACAGAGGACTTACAGTATGTTTAATTTAATATATTTTAATTTAACTGGAGGTGGAGTCATTTTTTTCCTTTTTTCACAGCTCATGCTGTCATGAGAAAATGGGTCTTGCTAACTGATCCAGATGACAAGATGGCTGGAGTTAAGGTAAGGAAAAAATGTCTTGTTTACAGGTATATGTTGTGGTTCAATTTTATCCTTTGTTTAAATTTTATTTCCCTTCGTTTTGAGGTATGGTAATGTATGATAATGAGTTTAAAATAAAGAAAAATAAAATTTAAACCAAGGATAAAATTGAAACACAACATATACATGTATCAGACAATCTTGGAAGTTTTGGAAAAATGCCTCTGGTGACTTCTGATAAACTGCCAATTTGTTCTTCCAATAATAATTTATTTCCCTTACTGGATATTCTTGTGAATCAAAGGAACAATTTCTTATTAGTTTAGGAGTTTTTTAAAGGCCCTCTTCAGTCAGCATCCTCTAGATCTTGTATGGCTGGATAGAACATCTTATAAGGTTTTATGATCTGTTTTTTTCTATCTTAGTTGGTCCTCAGGTATGTAAAAATACCATTAATTTTCTAGATTCACTGTCTGTTATAAATAATAGAATCAGTAGAAATATGCATGTTTATACTAGTGCAAGGTTATCCTACTGTGTGCTTCTTAGTGTCTTGTGGAGAGAATATATTTTTACCTTTTAAAACTCTAAAAGTGGATGCCCACTGACTGTGAGCAGTTAGATTACTGAACTTGTAAATGGGAGTTCCTGAGGTCAAGATTGGTCTGACTTTGTCCCCTGTAAGGGTGCAAGATTCCACACCGTGGATTCTGTAATCCATATTCTTTGCCACTTGAACTATGGATTCTGGATTCCATTTGTTAGTTGGATTTCAGATTCTTTGAGCTATATTCCGGATTCCATAAGCAAACATTTCCTGGATTCTGGAATCTGGATTCCTATACATGGGGCGACTGACTGCAATCTGGATGTAGATAACCGTCTTGATTGCCTTCAGTTAGTTGGAATTCTTAACCCCGGTTATGTTTGATTTAGGTTATTATTTCATTCTTTTAATGCTTAGACCCATTACATTTGCTATAAGTTGATCTCTTGCAGAGTGTAAATAAAGGAATATTATTATGATTATTATGATTATTATTATTTCCAGGCTAATACCTTACCTAGGATAGGATAGGATAGGATAGGATAGGAGAAACAGTTTTTCTCTTTGGATATCAGTTGTCTCTATTAGCAGTTTGCATTGTAGCTGTAGTTTGATTGTAGCTATAGCTGTATCACGTTTTGATGTGTTTTTTTTAATTGGTATGCAGGTCTTTGTAGATTTGCATCCGTAATTTTGAATAGGGCATATATTTTAAGTTAATTCTGCATTGTATGAGTGTTGCATTCTGACAATTGGTACAAGCATCTCTGTAAGTGGACACCCCTTGAAGATAGTAACAGCTGTTCACTTCTGTTAGCTGTAGCTGTACTCTCTCTAAAAAGGATTCCATCTAGGATGGACCTACAGGGGCAGAACCAGAAAATTCCAAAAGAGGGGACTGGGAAACTTGCCCAGCCATATACATGTAGATACTATTAACTTGAGGGTAAATGAACTGTCACGTCTCTGTCAACAAAGAAAGCTCTAAAAGACAGTTTACAGAGAATTCTTTAAAATCTACATACAATTTTAGACAAAAGGAGAGGCTGCGGACCCCTCAGACTCCTGCTAACTCTGACACATAGTCATTAGCATCCAAGTACAACAGTCTAAGGCTAGCAGAATGACCCATTTGGTTAGCGAGTTTTCATTTGCCAGTTACCCAGTGGGCAAACAAATTTTATTGTCCTTGAAGAAAAATTTATTATAAGTGATAAAAACTTTGAACATACTTCTTGGAGGTCTGGGCACTAATAAGGTGGCACAACATCTTGTCCTTCATAATGAGCAAACTGATTTTCTAATTTTGGTCTCGTTCACCATACACCTTGCTCAAAAATGGCATCAAATTTTGAAGTTCTTTAATGTCTTTATGGCAATTGTCCTCAACGCCTTATTTCAAGGTAAAATTTCTTTTGAAATTTTTATCATTCTGCATATACAACCCTGGCAAAAAGAGTTAATTAACCTAAATGTATCAAAAGAAAAGAAATTTTGTCATTATTTCAAAATTAGGTGTATGTAGACTGTACCTGCAAGGTGACTAGTTACCTAGTTTATATTGTGTTTGATGCCATTGATCATACAAACTCATTGAACAATTAAGTGACTAATTGAATACCAGGATGAAGATGAGGATGATGAATCAACTACTACAGGGAAGTCACGTGGAGCTAGTGGAAGAAGAAGTGGTGGAATTCCAGCAGTAAATATCCTGTTGTTTTTCACAAATCTGTTCATCCATTGTTGTCACATAAAAAATTGCTTGAAACATGCCAGTGATACGCTTAAAATCGTCTGCATGACATGCTAAACGACCAATAAATTCCTTCTATTTTTTTATACGAGAATAGTAAATTTTTGGTGTCTGAAAGTAGAATAAAGCTGGAACACTGTAATCGATAAATTTGGTTAAAATGACCAGCCATAATGTGTGAAGTTTTAATTTCTTGAATGGACCTGTAAATGTACTGATTCAAGTTTGGTATACATGTATTAAGGCATGTGAGTTAATCTAGTGAATTAAGTGAAGAAAGTGTGAAAGAAATCCAGGCAATAAAAGAAATAAGCACAAGTTGTAAGATAACATCAATAAATTTTATTGCCCTCAACAACTAAGGTTGTTGCTCCAAAAAAGTTGCAATCTGTTAGCTCTAACATGAACTGCATTGTATCAAATTTTGTAACCTAGGAATTACAAAAGTTTGTATAATGTTTGAAGAGTATTTACCTATCACTGAAATTGATTTTAACACCTTAAAATTGTGCCATAATTTATTGCATAATATATTTCCAGGAAAATAGTTTGATTTAATGCGTAAAAAGTTACATGTAAAGTGTTGTTAATCCCTTCAGTAGTTCTTTTTAAATGTAATAAAAAAGTGTCAAGCAAAATTTATTATGGAATGTTCTGTGATTAGTATTTTGTCGTATTTTTATAAGTTCAAAACGTCAGCTTTTTGATATAAAAAGATAATAACATAATGATCATAACGTTATGTTTAAAGGTGAATTGTCAGTTGGTGCCATAAATAACCATTTTTATCAGTATAATTATCAGAATTATCCCTTTGATTATTGTAGCTTGCCTTTTAAAAATTCTATAAAGACCTTTTTATAGTTTAGAAGTTTATGTTACAATTGAAAATAAAATTCAGGTTAAAATATTTTAACCTAGGTTGATCGTTAATATTCTGTCTTCTGGCCCTAATTCATGAATAAAGAGGGCAAAGAGACAAAGGTTAAAAAATTATAACCTGAATTTACTTTTGAAATGTAACATTTGTAAATCTTGATGTTATTAATTGTAACTGAAAACGAATAAGACAGCTCCTTAGTCGTATGCTTTTCACTGACATTTATTTGTAAAACCACTTAAATTTTACTACATAGCTTAGGTAAAAAATAGATCTTCTGGTAAAAACTATTCATATGTCATGAAATTCAGTTCAAAATAGAAAGAAAAGTAATGTAGCATCATTCTTCCTTAGAGCCTATAAAACGTAAAACTTTACTTTATAAGTTGTAACGTAGTAGACCTTATAAATTATTCCGGGTTGAGTAAAATTGAGTTATTTACATGAAGTTAGTGTAACTAATGAAAATTGCATTTTTCTTGGTATGTAAAAGTTTAAAATAATATGAAACGTCATTAAGTAAGTAAATTTTCTATCCTTTTTAAAGCTTAAATTATATCATTCTCATTTTAATTATTTCTTTCCTATTCCTACTTGTTTTGAGTTATGAAATGTTCAACAAAATGCGCACATCGTGATTGTCAAAAGGCATTATGTCGCTACAGAGCACTTCCCTTGTGTCACACGCTCGTGCTTTGTCGTCTTTTAATACTGTCGGTTTACATCGCCATCACGATTACGCGCAATTGTTCGAACATTTTATAAAGAAAATTCACTCGATATTTGTGTATTGTTGAGTCAGAAAAGCACGTTGGAAACTTCAAGTACATGACAGAGAAGCAAGAAACTCTCTTTTCCTACTTCTTCTCTTTTCCACATTTCATGTTCTTCATTTTTCCCACGCGTTTTTAGAATTCATTCAGTGATGCAGTGGACACAATATTCAATTTTATGTCGTTTGGTTTACATGTTGCAACTGACTTAAATTATTCTTCTATTTTACAGGGCTATGTTAAAGTGACTGTCATGGTGCTTGGTCCTGGTGATGAGGCTCCAGTAAGTTTTGGCTCACTTTGAGATTTTTTTTTGTTTTCGTATGTGGGTAATTCTCGTCTATTTATTGTCACATTTTGTTCGACATTTGTGGCTACTGGGCTACTGTCGACCCTTTTGCATTTAAACAAACCAACAGAAACACGGAGGTTCTCGGACAAAAAAATTAACTGCTCCATTCGAGACCCGAGACTTAAAAGGATTTGTTATGTTGCTGGCACTACCACCCATCCAGTAGATGTAATATAAAAACAAAGTAAAGCTGCCAGTCTTTATTCAGAAGTAATAGAACAGTGTTACCTTCTGGCGTCCTCCTTAGATGGCGGTGAAGAGATTTACGTAAAAGATGTAACATGATCTTGAAGTAGCCAGAAACAGCACACTCTGTATGTTGCGCCGTATACGCTGTATGTGATTCTGTGAATAGCACCATTTCCAGTGTTCATTTTTTCTCGAAAAAGTCATACCTTTTGCCTTACATTCTTGATATTTAACACATATTAACCTTTTATTTACAAGCTCATTTTATTCTTGCAGTCTTCCTCGAAAGGTGTAACAGAAGATGACACAGATGACATAGAATCGTGAGTAGAAAAATACGTTTAGAGCTTTCTTTTCTGTAAGATGCAATATTCTAGTTCGGCAAGTTTAAAAAGGACTGTTCTTTGACCCATTCCCTCCAGAAATTTTGTCAAAAACGCGCTTTGAAGTTTTTAGTATTTTCCCCGGTGGTCAGTGGAACAAGATTTTCATTGGGATTCACTGGTTAACTTTACGGTCGGTTTGACTGAATCGAATCATTCGAGTATGGTTTGAATTATATCCTCCCTGCACGAGTTAGCTGAAAAAATTTAAAACCTAAAAACTGATGATCTCTCAACTGGTACAATGACGTGAATCCACACAGGCAGCTATGAGCAGTTAGGGGTTAATGGGTTACCATGTTTCGTCAAGTTTCGTATGTTTCCATAACGGTTCCTCAATCTTTGTCACCTCTGTTTTTGAAATGCTTTGTCAATTTTGTCTTCTTCTTGAGCCTCATAACTTTATCCATTGTGGCTATTACAACAACAACAACAATTTATCTAGTGACAAAGGACAATATGGTATGCCCCGCAAATAGCTCTGAAGCTAATCCAGGCTGTGGCTATTCGTTTCGAGAAACGTTTTCCCAGCAAATTTGTTTTCAGGCTGTCCCTCTTGGCGTCGTTGGGAAACTACATGACTGTCCGGGGACTAGGCAGTAGGGTGCTTTAGCATCGACGCGACAACGAGGACGTCAGAAACAAAGCAATGGGTTTAATAAGGAAAAAGATGAAAGGAAAAAAATCGCGTGTGATCTTTCTAGCGCAGTCTTTCTCAAAATGCGGGGGCGGGGTCGGGAGGAGGGGAGTTCGAACATTAATAATTAATAAACCTATTGAGTATAACACCAATACTTGCAATTATTAATGGCTACTGTTGGCTTTTGATCACCTCGTGATTAAAATACGGCTATTTTTTTTACCAGTAACCTACTACAGCCCTCTGGTGTGATGTTACGCCCCGCTGTCTTTTCACTGAAAGTCTACAGATCAGAAGACATTCCTCAAAGTGAGAACATGTTTTTTATATTGTCACATGGCCCTTGTCCTTTTTCTGTCAGCTGTTTGAAAGCTACCAATATTTACCTTTTACTGTCTTTCTTGTGCCGATTTTTTAAAAGATAAATGCAGTTTACTATTACAAGGTACGACAGAGCCAGAGACAAGACTGGACTGAAGTATTATGTATGCTTTTTTGCTCTCTTAGTGGATTCCGGATTCTTTGAAGGAGTAAAGAAGGTCCTCCATGTCGGCGAGGTAGGGTTTTTCAGATATTTTTGTGTCAATGACTTAATGCCTTCCTGCCCCTTGTTTTCTGTTAAGTTTTTGTTTTGTTTTCATTGGTGTTCAATTTCCACCTCAGTAACATCATTATTTATCTTTTTTTCGTTATTTCCTTTTTTCTCAGGAACAAAAAGAATTAGTGGATCCATATCTTGTATTTAGCTTTGCTGGAAGAAAGGTGAAAATACATTTCTAAAAATGATAAGTGAATTTTTTCGTAGAGATGTAAATTTTTTTCCAAAGGCAGATTAATTTTTCTTTCTCACTGGAAAAAAATATGCCGTATGTTAATTTACGAGGTAAATTGAATTTATACCAGACAAGAAAATTTAGCTGCCAAGTTACCACAGACCTCAGTTGTTTCGTTTTACTTCCATTAATATTAAGCGTTGTCCAGAAAATAGGCCAGGGTTCGTACAGTTCATGGAAAACCTGGAAAGTCAGGGAAAATTAAAACCGTGTTTGGTAGATAAGTCGTTAAAGTTGTCAACGCAGGAAAAATTGTGACAAAGACAACTAGTGAAACAGTGCGAACGCCATGCATTTTCGTTTAAGCCAGATTCTCGGTTTGTGGAAGTTGGTATGCCAAATAGTTCCTTTAAAAACAAGGATAGTTTTGAAACTTTTCGAAAGCGACGGCTTAAGATCATGGGAAACTAGAGAAGGTCATAGAAAAAGTCATTGAAAATCATGGAATTTAAAGAGCTCAAAAAGGTACGAACCCTGTAGGCTCGATTACCAGCCGTTGTTTGGGAAATGAGGCCACTGTCCTCCCCCTCCTCCCTCCTGGCTGTGTTTCTGATATGTTCTACATTTCCGTGTAACAGGCAAAGACCAGGGTCCATTACAATTCAGATCATCCCGAGTTTAACCAGGAACTCAATGTACAGTTTAAGGTGAGTGTGCAAGCGTACAAATTGCCAAATCTTGTGTGTCGTGTTTGACATATTACTGAAACCTGTTTGCAACAATTCGAAGGGCTCATGTCACTTTTACAGTGGAACAATGTGGAAAGCAAGGACAGAGTAGTATAGTATACAAGGTAGCAAATTGAGCTGCAGCAATTAGTGTAAGTTTCGGTGTGGACAAGCAATTGACCAGTGTTTGTTCTTACAGTTCCCATCTATGTGCGAGAGACTGAAACTACAAGTATTTGACTGGTAAGAATAAACACTTTCTTGAAACCTGCTTTCTCGTTTCTCCTTTGCTTTCATTGATCGACAACCTAGAGGATTTTGGAGTTCTGTTTATGAATAAATCTTTCTCCTAATTTTCGATCTTGCAAAATATTTGATCTTAGGGATCGACTGACAGCTGATGACTGTGTTGGAACTGGTTATTTGCCCATATCTGCTATATCTGGACAGGGTGATGATGGTAAGGCTGCTTGACCATTTGCCTCTTTGAAAGATCTATTCGATTATGCAATGTCTTGTATGACTTTTGTAACTTCAATTTTTACACTTGGTATGGACAACATCCCAGCATGACACACCCAGTAACACAGACTTCTCGTTCTGGCCTCAGTTGTTCAAAAGCTGGATAGCGCTATCCACCAGATAAATCACTATCCACTGGATGAATATTAGGGAAACCAATTGCGCTGTCCAGTGGATAGAGATTTATCGGGTGGATAGTGCTATCCACCTTTTGAACAACTGGGACCTGAAGTGTTGCCACAGTCCGTGATTTGCAAACCGGGTCTACTCTTTGAAAGGATCTCCAGTGTAGTATTTAAGTTGAAACGAATTTCTTCAAATTCTGTTTCTTCAAGTTAAAGTGGGTTTAGCTGACTTCAGGGATCTCACACAGCCAGTCGGGGCCCTTTAACACGTATAGCATGGAGAAATCTTCTGTACCGTCTCACCTTTTCCTGTGATTCTGTTTTTTTTTTCTTCCAGGGTTTCTTCCTTTGTTTGGTCCATGTTTCATCAATTTGTATGGTTCAACAAGAGAATACTCAGATCTGCCTGATGAATATGATGACTTGAATTTAGGAATTGTAGGTTTCCTTATGAAACATTCATACCGCTGTAAACCACATGGAAATAGAGTCCTAATGTGTGACGTCATAAAAAATTATGTTTGTGAAATTAGGGAATTTTTCGGGGGATTATGAAAGAACAAGACCCAAAAGGCCTACTTGCTAAACATAAGCATTCCAGGGCAAATTGTCTTTGAGATATTAGCTCAGTTCTGCTCTGATGACTTCATACAAATCCTTCTAAATTTGACTCAGTTTCATAACATTAGGAACCGAGTCAAATTTAAAAGGATTTGTGTGGTGTCATCAGAGCAAAACGGGACTAGTATCTCCGAGACAATTTGCCCCACAGTGCTAGATTTTGGCAAGTAGGTCTTTCAGATGTTGTTCTTTCAAAATATCCCGACGAATCCCTTAATTTCAAAAATTTAATTTTTGTGACGTCATCACTTAAGAACTCCATAGGGAGACCTTGGGCGCTTTCCATTTACGGAAAAAACCCGGAAATTTCGGTGGTAGCAAAAGTGGAATTTCCGATTGGTAAAAAGTTGTTCCATTTGGTCGTAAACCCCGGTACGTGGCGCGGTGCCCGACCGTGGACCTGGAACTGGTACAAACTACAAGAAACGTCAATGGAACACGACTTTCCGTTCGGAAATTCCAACCGGGAAAACGGGACCACCTTTTTAGATTCTCCACTTTTTCTGGGAATTTTCCAGTGGGACGAACCGACGAAACGTGTTCCATTTACCGCCGAACCGGAAATTCCGGAAATTTTGACTAAATGGAAAGCGCCCCTTGACATGCCTCAACGGTTTCATTCGATATCCAAATATTGTAAAACGTGGCGTCCTTAATAGGCAAACAGTGCCGAAATGTTAGGAGATATGACATCAGCAGCGACGCTTTTGTTCTTTTTTTTAGGGTGAAGGAGTTGCATACAGAGGAAGAGTTCTGGTGGAATTAGAAACCAAACTGGGACCGTCGTCAAAAGAACCCGCCGAGGATCTTCAGAGTCACGAAATAATCCGTGTCCAGGTACAGCCATTTGTCTGATGATAGTATCTTATTCCTGAAAAAAATCTTGTATCATAGACTGTCACCTTTTCTTAGTTTTTGGAAATGGTTGTGACATGCTTGTCCAATTAATTTTTTTTTGTCTGATGCAGGTTTATAATCAGAATTGTTGGGTTCAGCGGTGCTGGTGACACTATCCCTCCCGCCACTATCCGAAACTAAGGGTGGATTTCTGCTGTCGCGTAATTTTTACGCGACGTGCGTAAATTACATGTATCTAGAGGCAATGTATTAAAGGTCGCGCCTAAACTTAGAGGTTTACGCGCGACACTTCATACATTTCCTCTATTTTGTTGACGCGCGTGCTCCCGTAAATATTAAACGACAGAGGAAATCCACCTTGATGCACGCCTTTGTCCTAGCTTGCCGGCACATGTTTTGTGTACGTGTCTTACCTAATAGTGTCCTTGAAGGATAAACCGCTAATATTGACCTGCTTTTTTTTACCCTTCAGCCTTACTTGCGCAGGCGCAAGTTCAAGCTCTTTGCTTGTTTCTTGGAGGCAACGATGATATCATGCACAGACGGTCCAGTGGAGTTTGAAGTCAGCATAGGTTGGTTCTTTGATTTACAATAGGTCTTTTTGCTTGCAATAGAGAGGAGAAGTGATGACGTGACAAAAACTAAGTTGATTGATTGGCATGTGCGGAAAGGACAAGGTGAAAAAAAGGTGCTAAACAAGCTAAAAAAAAGTGTATGTATTTTTGACGCAGGTAATTATGGTAACAAGCTTGATCAGTCAGTCCCTCCATCGTCTTCAACCACTCCTCCAACAAATGCAGTGTATGATGGCTCCTACTACTACTACCTTCCATGGGGCGACACCAAACCTTGTGTGTGTGTTGATAGTCACTGGGAAGACATCTCATTCAGACTAGACAATCTAAATATCTTAACCAGACTGTGTGAGAGGCTGGTAAGTATAAAGAAACACAAAAGGATCCGTTTACTGGGGCTTTGCCCCCCAAATTTCGTCTTCTTGATAAAAACTGTGCAATCTTGAGAATCTTAGCGCAACCTCACCGGAAAAATATCGAAATCGAGATAATTTAAAAAGAAACTTGTAGTGGTTGGGTTCCCTCTTTCGCTTTCTTTTTCCCGCCTTTAAAGGTCATGTGACCTTGTCTTTCGTTCTAGCCTGGTATATTTTTTGCGAGTGTTTGCAGCTTTTCATTCACTGGAAGTAACGACCTAAGTTGTTCGATTTCGACGTGTTGACCACTGTATTGTTGGAACACTGTTTGTCTGTCTTTTGGCACGAATTAGATCATACAGTCGTCTCTCGCAGTGTTGGAAATAAAGGATTGTATACAAGAGTGAATCCGTCGTTAGACAAAGACCACAGAAACGTGAAGAAAAAGTTTAGGAACGTTCAATTTTTCAAAGTTGTGATCGATCTTCACTTAAACCATTTTGCACCCTTAAGGCATACTCCAAAATTCTGAAGATATTGCCCGGGCCTTTTTATTATCAAACTTGACTTGCTTATGGAGGGTGTTTTAATGGTACAGAGAGTTGGGTTTCCAAATTTTTCTGGGCGTATGACTGGAGGAATGTTGGAATCAGCAGTGTTCCAAGGCTTAGATGATATTATTGGGGTATTAACTAACACATTCGAGACAGCGTAATCCCTCTGTACTTGTTTATTTCGAGCTTGGCAGCGGAAAGAACGGGGAAAACATACAGCAAGTAAGACGATTCCTTGTAGCTCACCAGAACTTATTTTTCAACTTACAGGAAATAAACATGGAAAAAGTACAACTGAGTCTTGAAGCCAATGCACCAACGGCAGAAACTGCTTCACTTCTCATCGCTTTGTTAGATCAACTTATATACGACTGCAGGTAAGTAAAACTTTATTGTATTATGTTTATTATTGGTTAAATGACATGTTAACAATTAAACGTCACTGGCTCAGCAGTCTCTTCCGGACAGCGGTAACACTCGCCAGCGCCCATCACACGTGGACGTTGGTGCTTCATCGCTGTTTCTATTATTTATCATTCCATATTTTATTGGGAAAGATCAATTAAACTAACCGGAAATACACATAAATGATTAAAAAAGAGAGCAAAAGGGAAATGATAAATGCTCAAAAGGGAAAGGACGAACGGGACACTTAGACCCTGTTTACATGGAGTGGGGGACCCCGGTCTAGTGGGGTAGGTTTCTTTTGTTTTGTGTCCCTCAGAGCGTGAAAACAAAAGAAACCAACCCCACTAGACCGGGGTCCCCCACTCCATGTAAACAGGCCCTTAGACCCATGAGAGGTGCCTCCTAGGGAAATAAAAGAACTTGAAGCATGTACAAGAATAAAAGCTATTTGACGTGGAAAATGTAAATTGTAGTAAAAGAAGAAGTAAAATTGTAGTAAAAAAGTCAAATTGTCGAACAATGTAATATTGTAGTTAATTGTAGTCTAATTGTAGAGAAATCTTATTGTACTGAAAAATTCTTATTGCAAAACAATCTAATATAGTGACATAGGCAAGCGCGTGAGATGGACCATGAGCAGACCAGGTCCACATTAAAAACGGTCATTAAAAAACAACAATTTGGCGAGCGGTTTGTGATGATCGTTTCAGTTGTCACGAGCACTCAGTTTTGTGGCGGTTGTTTAAAGCATTCCGCCCACCCTACCGTCTATTTTTCCTTCCATTGTTTCAGTCAGTGTGATGGGTGTCTGGGGCAGAGTCTGATGGCTGGATTGTGGGGAATTGCTTTATGGGCTGGCTGACCACAGATGAAGGCACAGGCACCCACCTTCAATTTCATCGAGGCATTCGTTTGAATTCCGTGAAGCCAGTTTAATCAGGGGTCTAGATTTTAGATTATGTTTGGTTAATCGCAGACCTAGTTGTTATTGTTCGTCTAGCCTTTTGTTGATTATTTTTGTTTTTCTTTTAGGAAACCTTTACCAAAGATCGACAGTTCAACTCTTGGTGTGAACGAACTGGATCTTAAAATTCAAGAGACAAGAATAATGGAAAAGGTGTGTAAGGTTTATTGAACGGTGATGCCAGGAGTGGTCAAAATAAATTATTAAGATTTACACTTCTTTATTGAAGGTGCTCTTATAAGTAAATTTTTGCATCTTTCTTAGTTTATCTTTTCTTGCTTGTTTAATTGTCTTGTTCTGTTGGGGTCTAAAATGCCCAAAGCAGCCCTTTATTCCTTGTAATAACGAGAAGGTTGAGTTAAACTAACAGCAGTTTTCTTATATCTTTCTCTGCAGTTGGCTATCATGGAAGAAGCAACTAAACTTCGTGAAAGCGCAACTGATGTTGCTGAAGCTATGGCCGAAATCGAAGGCTACATGCAGAGGCTAAAAGACATTGCTGTCGAGGTGCGTTTCTGATGTTAGTGGTACTTTGCGATCGCTTTAGTTGCAAATTAAATTAGTCCATATAGTGAGATGAAGTTGATCAAAACCACACTGACAAACTGTTTAACCAAGTTGTAAGAGAATAACACAGAATTGATTGGCAAACTGAACTTTTAAACAACTTAAAAACGAGAGATCTGTTCATAAGTTAAAAACTGAACGACTTATGTTAAGGACATGTTAGGCGTGTTTGCTGCCATTATCCGCACGTCGTTACTCTTCCTAAATCTCCAATTTTATCTCTACAGCTCTTCGCGTTTTTATCAGACCTCTACAAAACTTCTTATGCATAATAAATTCAACATGGGAAATTCATTTTAAACTCTATTTTCAGTTGGTCTCAGTTTTTGAGAATGTCAGAGTAACCGCTCATCGAAATATTGTGTGAGTTACAGCAAGCCATGTTTGATAAAAAATGTACCTTGATTTCACGGAAAACTGTTTCCTTTTCTTCTTTTTTTGCCTTGCAGCCTCAGAACAGCATGCCTGATGTGGTCGTTTGGCTGATAAGTGGAACCAAACGAATTGCTTCCTTCCGTATTCCAGCTTACGATGTTTTATACTCGCCCAATGTAGAGTCCTGCGGTCAATACTGTAGCAAGGTCTTCAACATGTTTATGAAGGTAACAAGAGTTTGTGGTCATGCTTCTGGTTTATTTTCAGCGAGGAATTGATAGGGATTCGTGAACATTTTTATTTCTAATAATTTTTTTTGCCATAAAATGCACGCATTTCTGGGAAAAAGTAATTTATGCAAGACTGACAAACAGTCTTAAATTGCTGCTGGACCATTTTTACTTACAAGAAACGTCGATTCTCTACTTTCGAATCCCTCATAATACACTCTCTTAGCCTGCGGTGCAGCCAACCCACGTATCGCATATAGTGTGGATATAGTCCAATGTTTAAAGTGTCTGCGCGCAGGCTAAAACTCTCTTTGCTCTCCCAAATTTGTTGTTGTTATTGTTTCCAAATGCTCTTAAAGGGAACCTCCACTCTTACTACAGAATAAGTTTAAATCGAATAAAATTATGTTGATGAACAAATTTGTTCGAAATTTGTCTTAAAAATAGTGTTTATATCAGGAAAAGTGAAGTTTAAAATCGCTTATTTTCACTTTCAAATTTCGCGGGCGCCGCCATCTTGAATAATTGTGACGTGTTACGGTTGCTCTATTGTTCTGACACAAAGAGCTTTTGTTTAATAACAATAGGGCAACCATTACACGTCACAATTATTCAAGATGGCGACGCCCGCAAAATTTGAAAACAAAAATAGGCGAATCTAAAAGTTATTTCTTTCAGATACAAACGCTTTCTTTAAAAATATTTTAGATTGACTTGACTGTAACAGTTATTTCCTGTGATTTAAAGTTATCTTTTTGTTGAAGTGGAGGTTCCCTTTAAGAAGACTGCATATTCCCTAGAGCATTTGAAAACATCATTTCATGTAAAACGTTGGGGGCAAACGGAGCGTAATACGGGGATTCGGAAATATTCAATGACACCCTAGATTCAACTTATTTCAAACATTAATCACGTGCCAACGCACACACCACGAATGTGTAGATCAACGGGAATGCTTCGTCACAGCTGTCATTCTAATGTTTTTGTTATGAAAAGGCTTCTGAGGCGGTGATTTCAAGAAATAACCTTTGTAAATCTGGCCATTGATTGTTGTGAGATTATACTGAGTGTTTCGCAGTGTGACATTGACTTTTGAAATGATAAAGTATGCTAAGGTAGTTTGTTAGATGACTTTTAGCGGGCAGTGGAAAACCGGAGTACGCGGAGAAAAAACTTCGCGACGCAAGGGCAAGAGCCAACATTTCACTCAACTGACAAATGGTGTCGCCTTTCTCAATTGAACCCAGGCCACACGGTGGAAAGCGGGTGCTGTCAAGACTGCGTCAGCCTTGCTTCTCAAAAGATTAAAATTGACACCTCTAGTAAACTCTATGAGTTTTATTTTTCAATATGAGCAAAATTTCACCGGCTTTTTTCTTATTGATGTTAGTATCCCGGTAAGAAGCAGATGAACCTGGAAGACTTCCCAGAAGTTCCAGCTCACGTTCGGATGATAGTCTGGCTGGGTCTTGAGAAGCATCAAGAAGCTTGGAGCAACAGGGAACAAACAGAGGGTGACTTCTGTGTCTACGCTGAAACGGTAAACACAACAGACTCACGCATAATTTTAGTGATCAATAACCGCAGATCAGAAATGGGGCCCGATTCTCGAAGTGTCATTTTTTTAGGGGTGGGGGGAGGGGGGAGGAGGAGAAAGGGGAGAGGCCGAAGAAAGTTGTGTCGCAGTTTTTACCCCCGAAAGCGGACCGACTCATGTAGACCACTTAGGATTTCATCGCTGGGCTTTCAAACACAATCCAGAATCTTAATCCTAATCACTAGATACCCAACTAGGTTTTTTGAACCTGGTACGTCATTGGAGATTCGAATATGGGTGTTGGTGAGTAGGCTACATTCAAGTACTTACTCAGACTGAGTATTCGTTGTAAGGTGCGCAAAAATCTAAAAGTTTTAGTAGTATATTAAGTACTCTGTTGGTCCCAGAAGTTGTGTGCTGTACCTATAGAAGAGTACAGGTGGGAATTACACTGGCTTGAGTTGTATCAGAAGCGCTTATGAGTTTGTGTCGGTATACATATGCGTTATTTGTAGAATGTGTGAGATGAAGCTGCAGGCTTGGTATTTTGCAATTTATGGATCGAGGCATAGTAGAGTAAAAACGCAAAAAAGCGAATGAGGCTTATATACGCTACTTATCAACCGAGAGTGAGGTGATTACACGGAAATCTCAGACCGAGGCCTTGATGTATTGACCGAGTGATCAAGGCCGAGGTCTGAGATTTCCCTGTAATGACCGAACGGACGAGATTATGGACAGGAGCTTGCGGTCAATTAAAACCAACAACTGGCCAGCGGTTAAATTTAAAAAACAAGTCACCTCAATGAGTTGTACACTTCAGCCCGCGATGCAGTCAGGTAACACTGGTCAGCGGACACCCCTTTTACAGCTGTCAATTGACCTTAACATGGTTGTCCATAAGGATGCCCACTATCAAGTTAAACACAGATTGTATATGCCTTGGACACCAAGCTAGTAATGTGTCGTCATTACAAGAAAACAGCCAATCAGAACGCGCTAATTATTGTAGCCATATAATAAAATGACATCTTGACCGACCAACATTGATCAATAAATGATTTACTCTACAGTCAAGGGAACTATTTTTCTGGTGGGACCAAAGCAGGAAATCCCGGGCGGGTGAGGTTGGCCCATCTTGTTCGCTCGGACAGCCAATCCTAACAGAGGAGTCACTTCATCTTGCCTGCTCGCAATCCAGCCGTATAATGAATACAATTACTCCCTCTCGAAGTTGAACGTGCATTATCCGTTTATGGGCCTAAACTCTAAACATTTTAGTGGGTGCTGTTTTTACGGAGGGGGGAATAAATGTCACATCTCAAGGTAAATATCGGTGGCTTTGTATTAAGGCGAGTTATCATTATTTCTTTTTTAGTACGAAAATCAGATGAATGTTCTTGGTACTTGGACCTCAAAAGGGTTGCCTCGTCCTTCTTGGTCAAACTCTCGCGGAGACGTAAGCATGATATTCATTTAAGTTTGGACTTCATACGGTATCACAGTCGACGTTTACTTTATTGATCAATTTTTTTTTCAATTTTACAACTGAGACGTTTTAGACAGTCTTGCTTAGATAGACAGTTGAAGGAAAATTGCCAAGTGGATCAGTCTTGGATCAGCAGATATATGGATATGTAGGTAGGAAGGTATGAAAGATAGTGAGTTGTACGAATTTTGTTGTTGTCAGTGACGTCTTTGCTTTCATGCTGTTAACAACAAGCTCTACAAGTTCGTAAGTTGTAAGATTGCGCATCCTTACCGACCCCTGCCTAGACATAGCCTGCGCGCTGAAGTCTCTTTGATTCTTTTCCGCCTAAAGCAAAGGAAAAAAGATAAACTCTATAAGCATTTCATTAATTCTAGGGACTCAACTTCTGAGTTAAAATACAAACGCTATCGGAACAAACTGAATCATCTTATAAAAATTGCTAAACGAAAGTACTATGATACAAAATTTGAGAAGGCTAAAAATAACCTGAAAGAAACTTGGAAACTAATCAATGATGTAATCAACAAACCGAGCAGAAAAGCAGCTCTGCCAAATTCCTTTTTCTCTGATGGAAAACTGTTAAATGATCCACAAGAAATAGCTAACTGCTTTTGTAAGTTCTTCACCAACATAGGTCCGAATTTGGCAAGGAAAATTCCAGACACACAAGTATCTTTTCGTAGTTTTCTTGGCGTTTCTGTTAATGAGTCGCTTATCTTAAATCCAACTAATATTTCGGAACTAAATCAAATATGCAACTCTTTTAAATCTGGAAAGTCGCCTGGATATGATAACGTTTCAATGGATATAATAAAAAGCACCTTTGATCTCATTTCTCAGCCTTTGGCCAATGTAATCAATTTGTCTCTTATTAAAGGAGTATTTCCTGATGAACTGAAAATTGCTAAACTGATTCCGGTATTTAAAGCTGGTGATTCCCAGTATTTCACTAACTACCGTCCAATTTCGCTTCTTTCTAATTTTTCTAAATTCTTTGAAAGAGTTATGCACAATCGTATTACAAATTTTTAGATCGTTTAGATATCTTATACTGTTGCCAATTTGGATTCCGTAAAAATATTCTACAGCGCTGTCTTTAATTCATCTTATTAATAAAATTGCAACTGCTATTGACAGAAGCGAATATACAGTTGGCATATTCTTAGACTTATCAAAAGCATTTGATACTTTAGACCATCAAATACTCTTGTCTAAGCTTGAGCATTATGGGATTCATGGGCTAGCACTTAGCTGGTTGAAAAGCTATTTGTCAAATCGCGTGCAGTTCGTCCAGTACAAAGAGACTTGTTCTATTAGGCTGACTCTGAGCTGTGGAGTCCCTCAAGGTTCTATATTAGGACCATTATTGTTTGTTTTGTATATCAATGACCTCCCTTGTGCTACTCGTCTTGCTGAAACTATGCTTTTGCAGATGATACTAGTGTGTTTTATTCTAATCCCGATTTAAATTGTGCTATTTCTGCCGTAAATAATGATTTATCTCAAATTGATCTTTTTATGAAAGCAAATAAGCTCTCTGTTAACATAACGAAAACTAATTATATCATTTTTTGCAGCAAGGCAAAAACCAGTCGGCTTCCCAATAAATCCTGTCTTGTACGATGAGGTTTTATTAAAACAAGTAAAGGTAGTTAAATTTTTAGGGGTTTTTATCGACGAGCATCTAACGTGGAAGCCGCATATTACTTATATATGTAAGAAAATTTCAAAATCTATTGGCGTCATGTTTAGGTCTCGTTTCTTTCTTTCTGAAACAACAAAAAGTCTCTTTATTATACCTTAATTTATCCTTATTTAACATATTGTACCACAGTTTGGTCCTCCACTTATGTAACAAACCTTAATAGAATTTTTCTTCTACAAAAGCGAGCAGTACGAATTATTACAAATGCAGATTTTCGCGCGCACTCTGAACCATTATTTTTCCGTTTAAAGATTTTGGACATATACAACATTAATTCATTCTATACTGCACAATTTATGTTTTCATATTATCATCAATTACTGCCACCGCTTTTTTCGAACCTTTTTGTTACTAGTAGCAATATTCATAATTATAATACTAGAAGTTCCTCGCATTTCCGTTCTCATGCCTGCCGAACTAACACCAAACAATTTTCTGTTTTGTTCCAAGGCCCTAAAATTTGGAATTCTTTACCAAACTCAGTCACTTCGATTTTTACATTGCAATCGTTTAAAACGAAAGTTTTTGATTTTCTACTATATCGATAATGCGTCTTGTACTGTCCGTTGTTGTGTGTTGTTATAGTTCTATTGCTTAATATTATTGTAACGAGGGGGCCTCCTCGTACAAGCCTTGTGGTTTTCTGAGGTCCCCTCGCCACATCTTTGTATAATGTAATGCTTGTGTAATCTTTATTGTGGGAAAATAATAAATAAATAAAATAAAATAAATACACACGGTCTACCGAGATATTTTGTCACGTTAGGTGAGAAATTATCGCTTCAGAAAGGCACCTCAAGGGCGCCTAAAATTAGAGAAGCAGGAGAAACGCTTCTCGCACGCAAGGTGGACTCCAAATAAGGAACTTGCCATTATATAAAATTTCGCAGGTTCTTTGTGTTCTTGTGCCATGTTTTTAGTTATATACGTACTGTAAGTGCCAATTGCCTCTCCTTCTTTTTCAGTTAAGATTGTATAAAGATTATTTTGTTCCACCCCCTGGTTGGTATTTTGAGGGAGACTGGTTTGTTAATCCAGAGCTCAGGTAATACTTCCTTCTTAAATTATTCTTGAGAAAAAATAAATGTATTAACAAAATAAATTACTTTCGTTGCTATAAAGCGGTGTTGCGTTTGTAAGCCCGTCACTCCCGAGTCAACGGATTGGTGCAATGTGTCGTGGGGCTGATTGGACTGATTACGAGAACAAATCCACTCGTTTGACATGCCATAGAAGATTTGGCGAGGATAAAACTTGGTTTTAGCGCCAAATTGCATAAATCTCTACTAGTTTGGTTTTGTGTGATCCGTCGCAGTTGTTATTTTGGCTGTTGCATCATCAGTATGCGCGTCGTAAGAGGTTTTGATCCCCTGAGCTGTTTCTGCAACGTGTCGCCTGGTTTACGCCAGCTCAGGAAAGTAGTGCTTTGTAACCCATCTATGGCAATTTGTTTTGTTTTTGTTTTTGGGCGGAAGGGGGGGAAGGAGCGGATACAGCCTTCAATTCATAGGACACAACATTTTAAGGTTTAAAGTCAGGGACAAAAAAAGACCCTTTATCATATTGTTTGATGTTCACTTGTAGATTTAGTATTTTAAGCAGCAAAGTAGTAGTGAACTATTGAATGTTTCAACAGTTTAAGCTATGACCGAGACAGTGGCCACAAGAGCTTCCTTGAAGATGTTTTTGAGAACGAGTCTCGTCTTCCAGGAGGCAGCTGGGGACCTTCCTCTGTACCTTGGACGGATGTGGTGAGTTTTTGTTCCATTTTCTTCTTCTTTTTGGCCCCTTCTGCTTTTGAATTTGACGGTGAACTCCTGAACTTGTTTCTCATGATCTTTAGGCGCCAATTGAACCCTTATTTATCCTTTATATTCTAGCACATGCAGCTATGATACTTGAAATGCGGCCAGTGTGCTGCATGTATCTCATTTTGTTCTTGAGAAAATGGATAAATTCTAGGGATTCTAACTCTCTTCTCGGGATAACACACACTACTACATGTCCTTAGCAGATTGATTTATCCAGTGAATAAAGCCGTCCACCTTTCGAACAACGTGGGCCAGGTTGCAAGTTTTATAGCTTTACCATAAAGATCAACTCAATCGTATTGATTTCTTGCTCTCACTAAACTGTATTGTTACGCACTCAGAATAGTCTCTATCTGGAGTTCTGCGAAGGGTCATGATATGTATGGTTTATTTCTTGCTTTAGCGTGGCGATGCAGTTACGGCCAGGGATGAAATAGTTTGTCCAGAAGATTGGCAGTGGACCTCAGACTGGTCAGTTGATTTGAACCGAGCCGTGGATGAAGATGGTTAGTCTTTGCTGTTGTTCTTTTGTGAACTTTTCTCTCCGTTCGCTCCCGGACTGCTTTGAAACGAACAAGACTAGATAAAATCGCTCACTAACTAATCCAGTGAGGTAGCTTGACCAGGGGTCAATTTAATAAAACTTTTACAAGTGTAATTTACAAGTGTAGCCATTGTTTTAGAGTCTGAAAACAATAGCTACACTTGTAAAAGTTGTATTAAATTGATCCCAGGGGCTTTACTTTAGATTTATACAACTGGTCCCCATGTTATTTCAGCGACGTTACCTTTCCTGTCAAAAATTTCCAACACTATTGAACCGAATATTTCTGGCAAACGTTCTGATAGAGGTTCTTCAAAACCAGTACTACCCTATTCAATCATATCAGTTACGAGTTCCATAGAAAAAAAAACTTGGAAAAAGGAAGTCTGGAAGATGACATGGCGTTGTTTTCCGTGTTCGAAGTGCTAAGATTTGGTCACTCAAGACTTGGTCAAGCTACCTTCCAAATCCTAGGAGGAAATTAGTAATTCCTTTTGTACTATTAAATTAATTATTTAATTAGTTTCTCTTATCTCTTCAGAGTTAGTGTGGTGGCACGCGCGCTAGCGGCCCGTAGTCACACGCATGGTCATTTTCTTCTCTCTTACGTTTCGCGAGACTGGTCGTAGCCTTATTCATTCAAATCCATTAGTATGAATTTTCTCGACTCCGGTTTGTGTCCACAGGTTATGAGTACACAGTGGAGGCTACGTTTGGTGGTTATGGACCGGTAGAAAAGACGTACCATTTGTGTCGTCGCCGTCGATGGGTCAGAAACAGAGTGGTAGTGAAAGATTCAAAGCAAGAAGAGGAAGAGGTGAATAATTAGCAATTGCATGTTTTTATTATAGTGGTTCATGAGAAGGGTAAGGAGTAAATGTACCGCTGTGGACTATGTACAGGGAAGAAATGGAGAGGAGCGCTGTTCACTAAGGCAACCTTTTTTTTTCAATTACTGAAAAAACGTCCTGTGTGAAGCTGTAGCTTTTTTCTCCATTTGGTCAAAAAGCCTTCTTTTCTTTTGCACTGTTGTTTGTAGATGAGAATCGTTCCGTTAAAGGCCACCAAGTACGTAATGTCTTGCAAATGGCGGGGACATTTCTTGTCTAATGGATGGTCATTAATTTGTTGCAAACGCGTATTTGGGCTTTGACATTCAAATGGCCAAAAAAGTTTACATTTTAATGATAGCAGTTTATGAGGGAAATATGATTAGTGTATGGAACACAGAATACACTATCCATTTTTAAACCCTGTGCTTCTGTGTTGATTGCCAATTCAGATTCGGGCAGAGCAGCTTGCTAAAGAAGGTTGGGAGTACTCTCCAGTGTTCACCATGAAGTTCCATGCGAAAGAACGCAAGATGGATCTGGTCAGAAGAAGGCGTTGGCACAGAAAGATGGTTCAGGATGATCCCAGTGCTCCAGCAGTTTTCCATATTGACGTTGGAGGCAGCGATGATGTAAGAATTAGTAGTGGTCATTACATTCACGAGAAAAAAACCGTATTTAAGAACTGCAAAGCAATGGGTTACATGCTTTTATGCAATTTGATAGATCCGAACTTCAGTGAAAGAAAAGAGTATGTGCAAGTCCCTCTAAAAGTTCTATTACAGTACGTTTTTAAGGCGAAAGTCGTTTTATCGTGCTTTAGTTAAATTTTTTGACGCATGTCAGATCCTGTAAGAGGTCTAACTAAAGTCTAACTCAAGTCTCTTAAGCTATCGGCGCTGATTTATTAGTGTTCTACCGTAGTTGGTTCGCCCCTTTTGACAACATTATGAGTCACAATGAAACTCGAAGGCAAAAAAAAGTGCGCTCAGTAAGTTTTTCCTGGGTTTTCATTATCGTGGCAATCCCACCAGATTGAGAGCAGGGTTGATCAAACTCCTAAGAGGGCCTAAACCAGGCGCTTGTTGAAGATAAATTTTAGGGAAGTCCAGTCCTAGTTAAGTTTACCTTCTATTCCTCAATTCAGTTATGAAGACTTGAAATATAAACTAGTAAATCCTAGGACCTCATGTGTACTCCTAAATAGCGTCGTCGTGAACAGAATTTTCAGACTAAGGAAGTAAGATATAAAGGGCGTAAACAAGGAGTGACTGAATTTTTCGACCGTCTGTGCGGAAGCGTAGATGATTACCACACAGGTTGTCGAAGAGTCATAATGGAGTCTTACATGGACGTAATAACCATGTTACAGTGTGACTGCAGTGTTTCCATTCATTTAATCCCTGGAAACGTCCTCATGATTTTTATTTTTGCTTTGTTAAGGATAAGGACAAGGAGACGATGATGAATGCCCCAAGAATGTTTATCACATTTGACAGTAAGTGAAGAAGAAGACTGTGAAAGTTATCTCATTTTAGAGACGAGTTATTAATAACAATGAACAAGGAACCTGCTCTTGGAGGCCAAACGATATCTAGTCAATCCTCGATTTTGTGCCAATTTAAGACCAGGGTGCACGTTCTTAACAAACGCCGTTGTTGTACCTTAGCGGGTTCGTTTTCGAAAAGTTCCATCTCGCCACTTTTAACTAACACACAGAGTTCCAAAGTTAGAGACTCGGTATCCTTTGTTTAGACGCTCCCTCCCCTTTCAAAGAAAATCACCGATTTTCTGAGGGGAGGGGGCGTCCATACACAGGCTAGAGACTCGGGTACCCGTTTAATTCATCCATACTCAATTTTCCCAAGGTGAACTTCTCAGGGAACGACGTGTTTCTGTACTTAATCCATTAAAACGCCACCCCTGTGAGTTGTACTTGTCGATTTTCGATATAGTTTTTAACACAAAGTTAAAATGTCGGTCTGCTTGTTATTGAAAAGCACTATCACAGCTCATAGACTCGGTTTATCTAGGGAAAGTGGGTGCAAATGGTTAATCAGAGCTTTGTATAATAGTCAACCTTACCTCTTCCAGAGCCTCACAAGTATCAACTGAGGGCCTACATCTATCAAGCACGTGATCTATTGGCTTCTGATGCCGATGGCTTCTCAGGTAAAATAGCAAAGCTGACGATGCTATTAGGGGGCTTAAGCAAATGCGTTTTTTGACCGACGGACGTCAACCGGAAGTGAACTTTTTCCGTCGTTAGGGAGTGGTTCGGTTGAAACTCTCGGCTAAATCGTCTTTATAATAGAAAAGAAACTTAGCAGTACAAATTTGTTGGCGTCAAGGCATATGAGAAGGGAGAAAGCTTCACTTCCGGTTGACCTGCGTCGCTCAAAAATGCCTTTACTTAAGCTCCCTATTGTGTAACCCTACTCTTCTATTTGGCGTCTTTAGGGCAGTAAAGTCGCGAAATTTCGTAGGCGATTTTGCTCACATTAAAGGAATTTCTTGCGTATAAGACATAGCGTAATAAAAATTTCTATCAGCGCCAATGACACTTAAAACGGATGTGCCAAATTTTAGGTCTTTGTGTATGCCAGGTCTGAAAAGAAGCTATTCGCTAAGTTTCTAGGCTAAAAACATCGTCTATAGGCGAATCTTTGCTGACCTGACCTAAGAAAGTTCAGTAATTTTCAGCTCTTTACGAACAATATCCTAGGAAATATCAAAACCTGAAAATTACGTTTTAAATAGTAATTCCTTCGAAATTGTTGGGCACATCGGTCTTGAATAACGAACGTCGCTGGCGGAAGAGGCCCCAAGGGGGAGCTGTGCAGTATGTATGTATGTATATACGTCGCTACACTCTTTAAATGAAAAAAAGGAATAATAAAAAGGGTATTTTTATGAAGGATAACACTTGACAGTTGTAAAAACACTGATGACGTGTAATGGTGGCCCTCATTACACTTTTAAAAAGTTCAAAAAGTACTTAAAAAGTAATATCCGTATTATAAGCATTCTAACACTATGTACATTAAACACTCAAAATATCGACCGTTGAAAATACAAAAATTGCAAAATTTCCTGAAATAGCTTTTTAGTTTAAAGAAGCGTCATATCTTGAGGAACTGGAAGGCTTTCTGATGAGTTAAAAATTTGTAAGGCGATTGTTTATGCGTTTTATCCGCTATATGTTTCAGACCCCTACGCACGAGTAGTGTTTGGCACTCAAAGTCAAGTCACAGAATGCCTGGCGCGAACAATCTGTCCTACTTGGGATCAGACGCTGATCTTTGAAAACGTGCAGATCTACGGAAGTATCGACAAAGTAGCAAGAAACCCTCCCGAGGTCATCATTGAGCTGTTTGATAAAGACCCGGTGGTAAGAAACACTTGCAGCTATTATCTCAGGGGCACCCAACCACAATTTTCGGAAGAATATCTCTTCGGAAGAAGATTTGAGATCTAGAATTTTCGAAACATTTGTTGTAAAATTTCATGCTTGCCTGCCTCTCCTAGGATTTTCGAACATCTAAAAAAATGGTACAATTGCCCATTTTTAACGGATTTTTACCCAAAAAAGGTCACCTAGAATTTTCGGGAGCCTCTTTTCTGGCTGAAATTTTCGAAAAGGTAAGTTTTGATCCCTATAATTTTCGGATCACTAGACTTTCCGCTAGGAAATCCGAACAGATGAAAAATTTTTTGGGGATAAAAATATGCCTATATCTACCGTTTAAATACTAAAATACGTTTAACAATGCCATGTTTAAGTGGTTTTGAACTATATTCTCGTTGGCTGCCCCTGTTATCTAACTTGATCCTTTAAGAGGCAGCGTGGCGGAGTGGTGTGCGCGTCCGAATCGTAATCCGGCGGTTCCTGGTTCAAGTCCCGCCCTGACCACCTGCTGGATTTGTTCTTGGTCGTCCCCAGTTCAAATCCTCGGCCACGCTTGTAACTGGTTGCCTCCTGCTAGATGCGGTGTTTAGTCCTGTCATGTTGTATTTGAATAGACCATTTTCGATATTTAAAATTCATACTTGGGTCCGAGGCTTGAGAAATAAAACAAAACAAATGTATTATTCATTGCTGAGCCTCAAGATGATTTCTTTTGTTTTATTTCCCCAAGCCTCAGAGCCAAGTATGAATTTGGTCTATTATTTGTTTCTAAGTATTTGAGTGGAGTGCCTGTAAAATAGCTGGATAAGCTAAGTGCACTTTCATCTATAAACAAACCCTTAAACCTTTTAAACCTTTTTTTAACCCTTTGCTCTGCTGAACCACAGTTAAAGGAGCTGTGTCACGAAATTTATCAAAGCTAAAACAGTGAGAACTGCCACCAAACTGAGTGAAACATTAAAACAACTGCTCAGTAGTTTAGACGAAGGTATTAGTAACACAGCAAATAAAAAAGTAGGCAGGGATTGATTTTGGTTTTTGAAAACTTGCCAGTCTAGCAGTTTTTAGAGGTTCATTTTTGTTGTTTGTAACGTTTGAAATGATGCTTGGGAGACATATCTGTATGAAACGAATCTGTGAATTTGTCATCCACTAGTTATTCTCAAGTTCTATAGCGAATAGGGACGCGTAATTAGTATTAAAGGAAAATGAACTGGCCAGCCGTAACACAACCCCTTTAATGAGGTTTCGCATCTGCAATTTTACCAACACTGCTGTCTGCCTTTTGCCTATGGAACAAGTACAGCTTCAGTAACTATAATGGCCTTCCTTCGATACAAGGGACAACCTTCAACGTCGAAATGGCCTTTTCTTACTCTTACTTTCCTCCGCAGTTAATTGCACTCTTACATTTAAGTTTGTGAAGGAAATCTTGTGATGTCTTCATCTGTATTGGTGCAATCTTACCCTGACCCCAACTGTTTCCCTATTCAACGCTAACTTGCTTCATTGGAATTCTGAAACCGAGTCGGTGTTGCCTTATTTGTCCTAAGCAACGTTTTATGTTTTCAAAGGGTCAAGACGAGTTCATGGGTCGTTGTGTTGTCACTCCGCTGGTCAAGATGAACGGACAGGAGCCACCCTCACCCAGGCTCCTGTGGTACGGTATCGAACGTGTAGGAGAGGAGGCTGGGGAAATTCTTGCTGCCTTTGAACTTTTTTTGGTATGTAAAATAACAAGGTGACTTTAAGTCCCAATAG